TCTCTAAAACTGTTAGTTTGGCTAGAAAAAAATATTTTCTATCCACGCAGTACGCCGGCAGCGTTCGGATCGGATATAATGACGTCATCGTCCCCGCGCCGGGCGGTCAGTGAACTTTTTTAGTAATTTGGCCATAACTTCGTCAATTTTTGTCGTAGAACAAAAATTTTTGGACTGTGTATTAAGGATTTCTTAGCCCTATAAATCTGCATTCACAGCTAAAAATCGAAATGATCCTCATTGGAACTATTAACCGAGTATCGATAGAAGCGCCCTCCTGTCAATTTCACAAAACTGTGAACTGGAACAGTTCAGTGTTGGATTTATAATAAATAATTATATTATCTTTGCTACTTATGTCAAAACTGACAATCACGCTTAGTGACAGTGACAGGTATTGTTTGGATTTGGGAATGTGTGAGTGAGTAATCAAGTTTCGTGAATTTATTTGCGAATCTTATTGATTTTTCTTATTTTCTCTTGAAATCGCAAGTGTTGTAAAGATTCAGTCAGTGTACAATTAGTCGTGGTCAACGATGGGTGCAGCATTGGGTCTTTGTTCAGCAGCTCAGGTACGTACCCACATAATGGTTTTTCTGGTTTACTTTTACAAAACAGCACCTACCTATCAGTACACAAAGACTTTCTTGTGGTTTTCTAAATCTAGATCAACAATCAAGTGATATCCTTTTAGTACTATTTGATAAGAAAAAACGTTCTAATTCAATTATAGCTCAGCCATGCTACTGCAAGGAATAATACAATTCTGATAACATTACGACCTTACACAACGAACCAGCCATTGCCACGGAAATTAAACAATTCAATTAATAAAATACTAACAATTACGAAAAGCTCCACAAAAGGAAGCTAAAAAGTGCTGGAGGCATCTATCATGTACCAACCATGTACTACCTACCTATGAAAATCTTGTATTTATATAATGTATTCCTGTAGAAGGTCACTTTATGTATATCCTAAAATGTCTTCCAGAAGCATATTATTTTGAAAGTACTAAAATTAAATATATTTCCTTTGTTGTAATGTAATTTTCAAAAACGTCTCATCTCATTGTGTATTGAGTGCTTTTGGTTTACTTTTGTTATCTCTGCTTTACAACGGCTATTACTAGTTACAGTACTAACACATCAAACAATCATCTGAAAAGCCTTTTAGTATAGTGTTCATTTTATTATGTTTGTAGGACTTTATATTCTCTCAAAGCAACAATATAAATACCCAATTAGGGACTAATTTTATCTATAACTACATTTATGTCATAGATAGATTTTTTTCCCTTTTTTCTACTAGGCACTCTGGGCACATGTTCAGAGCCCCGCAATCCAAGAAAAATGTCTGCCCTAAAAATATTAAAAGTAAATTGTGAATAACAGACTAACAGTCGTGCATAAATTGATGAAAAGACAAGTTACAGCTAGATTAATTTTTTTAGTAAAAAGGACTCCTTAATCCTACTCCTTAATGCCCAAGCCACTCATAGTTAAAGTTGGCTAATGGAGAATGATTCATAGTAAAACCCATCTTTTTTCCTTAAATTAGTGATTGCATCATCAGTCTTCATTCAACACTTGTGTTTCCGCATTATAATCGGTAAAGAGCACTAGTTACAGATAAGTAAAGAAAATTAAGTCCTACATCTCGTTTAAATTTTTTTTGTCAAAACTTTGAAAATGGCAAGAAACCATGTTGCCAAACATAGACTGTAATAGTAAAATTAGGAAACTTTTTGACTTGCCTAAATTGCTAACATATCCTTGTCAAAGTGATAAATAGTTAATGCATATTTAACAGATAATAGGACTACAAAGTATGACCTTGGTCTAATAGTCATTTAGCATGGTGTGTTTTTTATTTTAGATTCAGTCATGTCTAGTCTACTTCCTTTATTTGAGAAAATTGATAAGTAGGTATGCTTAAAGACTTAATGTATGTGTTATAGTCAAACCTCGAAGTTCCGGCACTCCTAGGTTTGACTAGTCAATCCTCAGGTCTGACTAGAAGTCTTAGTCAAAGCCCAAACATTTCGGCCTTTGACTAAATAATGTTAGTCAAACCTAGGAGTAACTAATTTGGTAAGGCAAAGGTCGAAACTCAATTTCATGAAATCGGGGTTTGACTAGTCAAACCTCAATTAAGACTTTAAACTAAACTATACTTAATTCTGATCTCGAACTTATTGTAAAGGCGTTACGACGGTCGGTTTTGACGCTCTTTAGGTGAAGGTACGAGTAACTAAACTTATACAATACTAAGATTGTTTGTCAGTGTTTCTAGATCGATTTTGATTAATTACTAATTTTTAGGGTTCTGTTACCTTAAAGGATAAAGAGTTTAGACCCTATTATTATGACTTCGCTAAATGTTTTCTGTCACCAGGCTTGTATCTCATGAATCATTTACTTTAAAAATAAATAATTCAATAAAATACTTAAATATTTAAGGGGGGCTCCCAAACAGCAAACGTGACTTGTTGTAGTTTTCTACTTGATATTAAAACGTAAACAGGTGAACCCTGGAATATTCACATAATATTAAGTTGCATATCTATTTTATAAATAAATCAAATCATAAAATTAAAATAAAATAATTATTTAAGGGAGGCTCCCATACAACAACAGAGTCGTATGGCACCCTTCGTGAGCGAATCCGGCTTGCACTTGGCCGGTTTCTATTTGCCGTCTACTTTTGACCGAGTCTGCCAGTCGTTTCTAGGATTGACTAGGCAAAGCCCGAAACAGATTATTTTATTTTCGACGTTTGACTGAACCGTTTAGGCACTTCTAGGTTTGAATTAGTCAAAGGCCGAAATAAGAATTCACTTCGGGGTTTGCCTGAAGGCCTTACTCAAACCTAGGATAGACCAGTCATTCCGCGAAGAGACTGCATTTCGACCTTTGACTATGACATATGGACTGTATAAATAATTTATTTTCATTGATAAGAATATTTTAAATAAAACCACCGAATAGAGACATTAAATATTACTTTATTCACTACAGCAACAAATTATTTTGTTATGTGTACATAATTATTTTGTTAATTTAATGCATGAACTCTGCAAGAGCTCAATAATGAAGACTACACATACCTAGGGCCTACCCAATACACCCTACGAAGTCCACCGGAGCCTAGTAACTAACTTGGACTTATTGTCATAACTTGGACATTAGTCTGCAGCTCCATCTCAGGATCACCTCTCTGAGTCGTTTATCCTCCTCCTATCAGATCTTTAGTCTCCTGCAGGAGCACAACCCTCTAATTCACCAGAGCAAATAGAGGATTTGGCCTCCCTACATAGGTCGTTTGTATAGATGTTACGGTTAATGTGATAAATTGAAAATTATTAATAATAACCGGTTATTATGAATAATTACCGACAGTCGCGGTAAAAGTGATAAATTAATCACATNTTAAGATAATTTAATCAAATTCTTACGCCAATCGAAAGATATGCATCAAATTAGCTTATTTCAATCATAAAAATATAACTTGACATGTCATTTTCGCGTACTTTTCAGGGGAGCGATTTTAAAGTTTAGAGTTCTCTGGTAAATCGGAATTAATGATAATTGATATTTTTATGATTGAAATAAGCTAATTTGATGCATATCTTTCGATTGGCGTAAGAATTTGATTAAATTATCTTCTTAATCTATTAAAAAAAAAAGACTTGTCAAGTTGTGTACCGACGACTTGTCAAGTTATTCACCAAAGAAAATCAAATATTTAAAGTATAAAAATTGGATTTAAGTTAATTATTTGGAATTAAGTTTAAGTAAAAAAACAAAACATAAAAATAGAACATATTTTTATCACTTTTGCAATGAAATAGTAACAAATTTATTAGAAAAATCAAATATAATCGCAGATTATGATCGCTTTTGATCAGATAATTGTACGTTTGCTTAAAATTAAAAAAAGACAAATAAAAGAACAAAAGCCATGCTTCATAACAAGCACAATTAATTTTAATTATTTTAAGCTTACCATTAACCTTAAAATAATTAAAATTAACTGGATATATTTTTGCGTAAGGTCGACACGCCCTTTCGCGTCCATCGTCCAGTTCACGTCCAAATGACGGATCAATCTAGAACGAAAGCTATTGCTATGGTTCCCTGAATGTATGACAGGTAAACCCACATTAAAAAAAACGTATAGCATGCTACCGTTTTTGCCAAAAATAAATCCCACGTGAGCAGGTGCGCGTTTTAAGGTAAGTTTTTAATATATTTAGGTCTAGTTTGGGATTTACAGCAGTCTCTAAGCCTTAACCATGAACCATACAATACGGATAATGATATCGGTGATTGTACTTTATTAAATGACACTTAAAATAAGGTGGATGCGAATTTACTACAATGCAATTTCCACTTTGCGTCAGAAGTGATCGCGGTCTGGTCTAACTGGGTCAAAGATATTAAAATATACAAAACAATGCATGTTTTATATCATTTAAAACGATATTTACATGAAGTATCGAACACAAAGATTTTTTTCAGTACTTAGGCCTTTTCCTGGACGCTAATACACCCTCCAAATATAGCTTACCCTTTGTGATAGCCAATTTGTGTCCACATTATCACGACTATTTTCTAAATACAGACGTTGTAAATAATGTTAAAAAGCAAACTGTGCCTAGAGAGGAGACCATAATATTGCAAATTGAGCCATGCTATTGAAATTTCAAAAAATGTAATAAACTAAAATATATGTATGTTTATAATTATTAAGTGTGATACCTAAATATTTTGAATACCAATTAGTAAGATTTTATTTATATTTTTTTATTTAAATGCTGTTATTAATTATTAGTGATTTTGAATGCATTTTTTCTATATTTCATTAATATTACAAAGATAATATTAAAACTTCTAATGGTTTAGAGCAAGTTTAATACTATACTTATAAAGACTAAAGGGAGCATAATGACAACAATTTTTCGTTCAAAATGATTACGAAAAATTTTAGGGTGGGTGTACCAGTAACAAACCGAATAAGCGACATTTTAAAAGTAATTTTGATATTGCGAGTCAATTATTACAACAATCATTGCAAAAAAAAGAATTCACTACTCCTTATCTATCATAGAATCAAGTAGCTTATTCAAATTTTCTTAATAGCTGTAAGTTTTATTTTTATTTAACAATCAATGTGGAAAGTCGCAATGTGCCTAAGGTTGACCAGTCGTGTTTGTCGCTTTTATTTATGACTAATGATTGGTAGAAGTACGGCAGTGCTTCCAAACGTAACAAAAGTGGCGGGAAATTGGACAGATTGTTAATATTTAGATGTGAAATTAGAAATGGTGTACTACTCGTACTGGTTCCTGGTGTGGGACTGGTGCACCCACCCTATATTATTTTTATTCCTCAAATCTACCAACTCACTAAATGGACGAGATCTGGCGTATCGACCCTACTTACTTTTACCTCATCATTATTCCTAAATAATGTCATTGAAGTCAAATAGACTATAATAATTATCCGGAACTTAAAATTGACCTAAAAGTTTATTATTAGATTTTTTACTTAAATTCTGTTGTCAAACGAAATATCTGTACCCCCAGTGAAAAGGGAGTTAAGTCGAAAATGGTGATTTTTGGGAAATCGCATTTGAAGTTAAAAAAAATCCTGCTTCGTCGCTATTAGAGATAACTGGATGAAATATTTTTTAGGTGAAAGGTAATATTAGATATGATTAGGCAGTGTGCCAGNTTCTTGCATAATATAACTTTTCCATGATGCCTATAACATAATGTTTTGATTTAAAGTGAAAAATAGGTTAAGGTGCGGCGGGGGGGGGCCCTTGGGCCCCCCTAAGCCGCCTATTTAGTTTTATACACACATAAATGACCTCATATTAATCACATTTACCAAATCATGCGGTAATTATTCATAATAACCGGCGATTATTCATAATTTTCACATTTATCACTTTGACCGTAACATAGATATAGATTGTTGCATCCACGAAGACGCGCCCCACCATTCTTCCGCTAATGTTTGAGGGCTATCGGTACACGCTAAATTATCCATAAGTGCACACGCACACTACAATTAATGTCGCTCGGGTTGCTCGGATCAAACTCCCCGCACCCCGCGCTTCCCTCGCCCCAGATATTGGTGGGGCGCATCTTCGTCATCTATAAACAGCATAATTAACTTTTTAAAAAATAAACCGACTTCAAATGCGTGAACACAAAAAAAAAACTAAAAATTGAAAATATTGGGTATAAAAAGTTCATCCCCAATTTTCCACCCTTGGGGGTTGGTTTTTCTATTATTAAATTTAAATGGGACCACCCTTGAGGTATTACCTATACGCAGAAAAAAGATTTGTTAAAATCGGTTCATAATTGGCGGAGTTATCGCGTAACAAACATAGAAAAAAAAAACATACGGGTCGAATTGAGAACCTCCTCCTTTTTTGAAGTCGGTTGAAAATTGACTGGCACCCAAACATCCGTTTGTATTCCAGCTGGCATGCTGCTGCGGAAGCACAGCTTGCTCGCTGTGCTGTGCAGCGTGCCCTTCGTGCACCAACTCCACGTCTTCAAGGTTGATGTACACGCTCATGCTACTGGTAGTGATGGTAGCGGCCTGTGTCACGCTCGCGCCGGGATTGCAGAACGAGCTACGGAAAGTGAGTATGTTAGGGTGGCAATTAATCAGGATTTTAGGCAGGTTTCTATCTATCAAGATTGTACAGTGACAAAGTGACCTTTGTCCAGCAGTGGACGTCATTTGGCTGAAAAGAAAGAAAGAAAGAAGTACAGTGACAACAGTTCCAACCACCCATTTACGGTCTTTCTATTGCTAGGAATAGCTATTTGATGAGAGCGTAATAAAATCGGAAATGGATAGCTGGAACTGTCTGTGGCTCACTACAACTGTAAAGAAAGAAAGAAACATTTATTGCCATGGACATCACAAAAGACAAAAGAGGTAAAATAAATAAAAAAAAGCAAATAAGACAGAGGTGACATAAAACATACAATGAGTGAGCAAGTAAACTAAGCAGTGCCACCCTGTCGCACAGCGATGCCCATCGCAATGTTTCAATCGCTGTACATCAAAACAAAGCTTTAAATCCTCATGCTTCCTTTACATGTACAAGCATGCAGCAGTACCAAGTGCTGCATACGATGTGCATAGTAGTAACTGAAACAGCTTCATTCATTTATTTTTATTTTAGGTACCATTTTGTGCTAATTCATCGACGGCGTCTAACTACGTAGTACCTGGAAGCTTAAAAGTGGATTGTGACCAAGCTGTTGGATATTTGGCTGTATACAGGTATTTATTATTTAAATTAAATTACTAAAATAATTCTTTATTTTGTATAGTATTACATAAATCGCAAACATTCGAATTAAAATCACTTAATTTATTTGCAGAATCTGTTTCGCAACATGTCTCTTCTTCGTTCTCATGGCGCTCATAATGATTGGTGTGAGATCATCCAAAGATCCTCGAGCTGGAATACAGAATGGGTAAGCCTGTTTTTGTTCTACTCTACAGCAACATAATGTTTTGTCCTATAATTTGTGCAGAAAATAAATACCAGCCGCCAGTTTCTTGCGCGCCGCAAGAAGCTTTTCTCGCGCCATTTTATCGATTGTACGCGATAAGTTCATACGTTTATTTTCTAAAATCACTGATAAGATTTTATCACGACGCTCATCCTAGCCCAGCTGTAGACTGTTCCTTTCCTATATGAACTATGTTGGGCTATATTATCATTATTAAATCGTAATAACAATTTTATTTCTATTGTCACCCAGGTTCTGGGGTATCAAATACCTTGTGGTGATTGGCGGGATAATAGGAGCATTTTTCATACCGGAGGGTCAATTCGCTTCCACGTGGATGGTTTTCGGCATGATCGGTGGCTTCTGTTACATAATCATCCAGCTCATTCTGATCGTTGACTTCGCTCACACCTGGGCTGAGAAGTGGGTTTGTAAGTATATTTTTTTTATTTTACTTTGAAGTTTTAATGAATAAAAGATTTGGTAATTTCGCTGAGCATCGACGTGTCAATATAGCAGGAATTTCTTAATTAGATAATTAGTCTAATGACAGCGACGGAACTAATTTATCCGTATGTCTTAGCGTTAGCACACATAATTTATGAGAGGATTGTTAAAATTTTGTTACAGCAAAGAATGAATGAAAAGTATTAAAATTCAAGGCTCTTATGCATTTATCGTGAGTAACGTTAAATATGTGTTATTACATGCAACTATTAAACGAGTTCTACAAGAGTAACAAATATGTATGTCACCGTAAAATTGTGAATTCCGTCAGATTATAATCTGACGTAGTTAAATTACAATCTAACCTAACCTAACCCACTGTTATATTATAAACTGACAGAGTTCACAATTTCACGTTGACATGTACACTGCTTACACCGTGTGGTTCCGACAGACTACAATAAGATCAGCTCCCACATTTCCCGTGGATATCGCGACTATGCGATCATCAGCCCTCCCCGGGAATTGTAGGCAGAGTCCTTCATTTAGAGAGAAATTGAGGATTCGGCCTCCATTTAGAAGCAAATTAAAGGATTCGGCCTACACTCCAAAGGTAGAACTGATGTATAGATATTCAAGAGTCATGCATCATGCTCCTATAGTGAAGACTAAGTGGTTTCATGATGATGATGATATGTAGTGGACGCTATTATCAGAGTAAATGTAAACGCCCGAGCGCGGTTTGTATGTGAGCGCGCCAATACGTATGCGGCGCGCGCTCACATACAAACCGCGCTCGGTGCGTTTCTATGAAGATGACCTACTCATTTATATTTACTCTGCTATTATGTTCTCCCTCCAGCCAACTATGAAGAGTCGCAGTCGCGCGGCTGGTACGCGGCGCTGCTGCTGGCCATGCTCACGTGCTTCGCGCTCGCGCTGACTGGCATCGTGCTTCTCTACGTCTTCTACACTAAGGTACTGTCCCAACACTAATGTACGGTACCACCAACACTAATGTACGGTCTCAACACAAATGCACTGTCCCAATACTATGATGTACTGTCCCAACACTAATGCACTGTCCCAATACTATGTACTGTCTCAACACTAATATACGATCCCAATTGCCTTAATCTTTATAGACACGAAGGCTTAATCTTTACGTTTCCATCATCATCATCATTTCAGCCATAGAACGTCCACTGCTGAACATAGGCCTCCTCCAATGATTTCCATGTTGATCGATTGGTAGCGGCCTGCGTCCAGCGCCTTCCTGCTACCTTTATGATGTCGTCGGTCCACCTTGTAGTTGGGCGTCCCACACTGAGTTTTCCTGGTGTAAAAAGGCGAGACCGAAGGCCAAGCGATTGTTCGAATTTCGAAAACCATCAAGGCTTAAAAGTAATGTATAAAAAAAGTACGGGCACTAGGAACCAACCTTGCGAGGTCGAAGCCCGAGCGCCGCGTAGGGTGTAGCCCGGAGCGGTCAGCGTCGCGGACCAAGTTTTATCAGCTAGAGACCAGCTAGGCTAGTTATTACAATGAGGGTTTTAGCGATTGAAAAATCCGCCAGATGGCGGGACGTGGATGTAGGGTCAGACTGCTGCGTGATTGGTGGATTTTGACATATCTGTCAATGTCATGCCAAAAATAACCAATCATGCAGCATTTGGACCTCGCGTCTACGTATTGCCATCTGGCGGATTTTTCAATCGCGAAAACCCTAATTAAGCATTAATGAATTAATCATTGTATTCTGTTTTATTGTAATTTATTTTGAATGCTGACATTTATTTTGAAAGAAACAATTAATTGAAATGTAATTTAATTTAATGTAATTTATTGATAACTGCTATTCTCAATATTTGCATGCTATGACTTATGGCTGGCTGACCAGCCCCCCTAGACAAAACGCACTTTTTGATCGAATCGAAAATCGAATCCGTCAAAACTCCATACAAAAAAAGGAGCTTTTCGACCACTTATCGACTAGTTTGCGATTATAATTTGCACTTTGTCTAGACCCACAGGCACTGACACTTTGAAACATGAAAATGTAAAAGACCTAGGGTAAACCGACAGTTAATGGGCGCTGCCAATCATTGGACAAAACGCTCTTTGAATGTCCATAAAGTGAATGAATACTTATTCCTTCAAATGCAATTTACAACTTAACGCCCTTTTAACTCCATCAGTCGGAATGTCTTAATTGTTGAAATAGAAATCCTATTTTTAATTCAATAAATAACTGTCCAATAACTCCCAAGTGTCCAATGGCTGGCAGTTAACCCTGTTTTATGCAAATAAATATATTTGATTTGATTTGTGTGATCATTATAACTGTGTCACTGTACAGTCGGACGGCTGCGGCCTGTCCAAGTTCTTCATCTCCATCAACCTGCTACTGGTGGTGGGCGCGAGCGCGGTGTCCATCCTGCCGGCGGTGCAGGAGCAGCAGCCGCGCTCGGGGCTGCTGCAGTCGGCCGTGGTGGCGCTGTACGTGGTCTACCTCACCTGGTCTGCGCTCGCGAACGCGCCGGCTGAGTGCAACGGTGTCAATAGCGGCAAAGATCAGGTATGTTGTTGGTTGTATTACTGGTTTTTGTTATTGTCCACACTGGGCAAACGGCGAGCTCGTGCGCCCAGTGTGGACGCACCATTAGACTTATGAGAAGGATATTTGTAGAGGACATAACTATTTTAGATTACATGTTTAATATGTTTGGGCCGTTTTCCCCCAAAGCGGGACGAGACGAAAGGAGCTTCTTCTTCTGAATATTATGAAAGTCACATTGTCTGTTCAATCGATCGTGTAATGTAAAATTTCAAACCATTTGGAGAAATAAGTCGTTATTCTGTGGTACATACATACAGGTTACAGTAATACAAAGTTGGTATCTTTTATATGTTAAAGGCATTTGAATAGTATGTATCAGCCTCGTCTGGGCTTTTTAAATGTAAATCTAGTAGTGTTCCCCTCAATGGCGTCAATTTAAGATAACAATGTAATTTTATTATCCATTCATCAGTGAAACATGAATAAAATTCAAAAGTGGTAAATATTTAATGCTTACGTAATTTCCTGTTGCCAAAATCAATGAAATATCTATTATATGTATGTAAGAAATGTATTGTCTTATTTGTTTAATATGTAAAATATATTACACACAAACATAACACGTAATTTTTTGAAAATGCATAACCAGGAAAAAATGCCGCAGTTTTGGGTACGTATGTGGTGTGAAACAACTTTTGTCTGTAAAATTTAGTCTTCCATTCATCTCACCAAGTCCTATATTATGCATTTGTCTAAGAATTGATAGTTTTAATAAATCTTTTACCATTTATTTTACTTTTCATCCAAATAATGCACTGAACACTGATACACATCTTTTATATTTACAAACCATCTGTACTATCGGCAACAGTGTTACCCATTGCCGGTAATGCCGTCTCGTTCTTTCGCAAAGAATCACCATTTGATGAAAGCGAGAGCAAAAACGGAAATGGATAGTTTTAACAGTGTGGCCGTGTGTACAAAAGTAGGTATGCAATGTTAGATTATTTCATTCAAAATTAATTTAGATAAAGTCCGGTCGCCTCACTCGTAATTATATTGCTGTCGTGCTCGCACACTCACTGCGGCCACCCGTCGCATAGTCGCGACAGATATAATTACGCGCGAGCGATAAGGATGGGTAGCTTGGGGTCTTTGGACGAAATTCTACGTGCTTGGCGACCGGACTTTAGATTGTTTTTTCTTTACTGTACGATACCTTCAACCAATTTATTCAGTCTTATTTATTCAGATTTTGCATACATTTTATTTTTCTACAATTGATATGTCATGTATTTTATAAGTATTATGATAAAGACCAACATAAAGACTTCGGAGAGAACTTTTCTACTTTAGATAGATTCTACTTTTTAGTCTAAAAGGGTCTTATTTTACCTTTACCTGGCATACTGACAGGCCACTATTTTGATTTACTCTAAGCGTAGTTTTTACTATATTATGTAGATTTTCCATACAATTATTTCGGAATGTGACCCCTCAATATACTTATCCATACTTAAATCTCTTTATTGTTAGGGCTCTTTCAGATTATCTTTCTCTCATGTGTATCATCTTGTTTATACGCATGTATCATGCGTCTTGAACAGTACTAAGTATCAAGAAAGTTCTAGAGAAGCATCAAAGGCGCGCGGGTGTGCCAAAGTAAACACATCAAACGAAAACGCATCAAACATTATCTGAAAGAGCCCTAACTTTCGTTTCGCGCCGCCACGACTTGATTTCAAAATGGCGGATAACCAAATGTCAAATCTATGTCAAAATTATTTTAAACCTTAACTCTTTTATCTACAGTCGTCTTTCGACAAGCAGCAAATGATCGGCCTGGCCATCTGGGTGTGCAGTATGCTGTACTCCAGTATGCGCACCGCCTCATCGTCCTCCAAGATCACAATGTCCGACCATATTCTCGCTAAGGAAGGAAATGGAGGTGATTACAATGTTTTTATTATGTTACGTGTCTGTTTTACACACAATCTACTCGCTTTCTAGTAGAGCCTGATTTTCTACTTATTATTTTGTTGTAGTTTAACGTAACTCTAAAATTGTCGAAAAAGTGTTTTTCACTTCAAGTTTTAATCTCAAACTTTATTATTTTTCGTAACTTATGTTGAAAATAATAAAATTCTCCATTAAAAATCAAGTGTCTAAAGTCTTCATGTCGAGTATAGCTTCGATAATTTACATTATTTACCTATCTACAGCATTTATTTATTGAACTCGAAGTCTCTACAAGAAAGCCAACACTGTTTCCTTGCTTTACAAATTGTATTCAATTGTTGTCACCAATCACGACGTGCTAACAAATCTCCTCTGAAACAAGAGAAGCACAATGTCTGATATCACGGAGACGGTATCATATCTATTATCTTTCCTGATTTCTGTACTTGATTTCCTTGTGTTTATTATATTTATTTTCGTGACACTAACTCGAATATTGTGCATTCCTTGCGGGCGAATCGCGCGGCGGCGGCTAAGGGCAAGGAGGGCTCATTGCTAACGAAGGTAACGCCTTGACTACATTAGCTTGCCCCACCTTGTATTGTCGCCATAAGTTGACAGTGTTAAGCCGGGTCTCCAGCGCGTGTTTTGCCCTACACAATCAACAAAGATGTCAAACATTCAACATTTTTGTAAGCAATTTCGTTGTGTGTTGAGATGTTTTTGTTGATTGTGTAGGGAAAAATATGCGCCTGGAGACCCTGCTTAATGTAGCTCTAACACTATCACTACCTCATGCTGCCATGGGATTCTGCTGTGTGGTAAATTATGAGTATTGTCATTTATTATCTGAAAAGGGTGCACTACTGACATTATTTGCCCAATGTCTAGTCTGTAGTCGCTCATTTTTATGCTGATAAATGTTTATGTCAGCTTATGTCTATGCAAGATAAGTGACAATATTTTTATGTTTAGCCTTTTCTGTTTGACTGGACTTTTACGTGTGTTTCGATGGTGATGGATTCTTCTGTAGTTATTAGAGTTTTAATTAACAATATCGCAATTCACAACATCAGAACGTAACTAGTTCGCTCTTCATGCAAAAGTCAGTGTCATAACTCTTTTTTTACACGTGAGATATAATCCTATGGTCCTTCGTAAAACAGTGTCATATTCTTGCTCATTTTAAGTTCTTTGACAGCGAATAAGGACGAATGAAATCAATATATTCATCCTTTGTCCTAAGCACGACCGGAGTAACGCATTCTTAAGTAAAATGAATGTTCAGATCAAGATCAACGTAATAACTAAACGTTTTATGAAGTGTTTATCACTAAAACTAGAAGATTACTAGCTATATTAGTGTTTAAATATGCCTAGTTATAGCTACTATAAATACCTTGAGTGATGATTAGAAAATATCTAAAATCTTTGGGAATTAAGTTTGATTAATCTCCATAACTTACTTGAATGTTTACTTGCTCGAGATAAAATCAAAAATATTTATTCAATTTTGACCAGGGCACTTATGAATGAACGTCAAAGATAAAAACCGGCCAAGTGCGAGTCGGGCTCGCGCACAAAGGGTTCCGTAGCAGCAAATATAATAAACTTATTATGTCAATTTAATCAACCTATCTCAAAAACTATAAGAGATACTTTGATCAAACCAAAAATCGTTGAAAGAGTTAATTAGCATGCATCACCTCTATTTTTTTTAGAATTTTATACCCCGTAGTTATAAAAATAGAGGGGGGGGGACATACTTTTTACGACTTTGAGAGCTGATATCTCAAAAACCGTTCACTTTAAGAAAAATGTTTTTTAGAAAACTTTATATCATTTTAAAAGACCTTTCCATTGATACCCCACACGGGTATGTACATCGAAAAAAAAAAAAAAAAAAAAAACGTTATATTCGAGATGTTTTGTCTCGGAAAAAGGTGGCGGTACAACAAAATTGGTAGACAAGTACGTTTGCTGTTTCTGAACCTCACCTCTTCAAGAGAAAGCGCGAACCTCGCCAGTTCGGGCGTTCCGTCTAGCTTGGCGCGATGGATGAGCCCTCTTGTCCACGCGTAGATTGACGCCACCGGGTTGGTAGAGGTGGGCTTGCCTTGCTGGTGCATGCGGTAGTGCCGCGTCACGGTACCATGAGCGGCTTCAGACTCAACAGTCTTGCCATCAGGACACATCAGCACTGATGTCATCATGCCCAGAGAACCGTAACCCTGAAGATTGAGTTAAGCTTGAGATATTGTGATAAGGTAAAGCTACCTGCACTTAGCGATTTTGGAGGGAATTTTATATTTTTTCAAGAATCGTGTGCAATATTGATGATTACTGAGTTCGAATACATACTTACATGCGACAACCCTATGGAATATGTAAGTGAATGACATATTCATACAATATCTAAATTAGCTAAGTGCATAATTTTGAAAAACAGACGACAGGAAATAACGTACACGAACTGTGTCTTTAAAATAAAAGAATATTCTTTAATCCTAAGCTAAAAATAAAATGCAAAGAACAAAGTAAAAAAAGGTTACATACAATATTTGACCTAAGCGCAAGTGATAAGTATAAGCGGGATTTTTAATACCAGTTCAAGTGCTATTATTATCAGTTATACTTTATTGTCATTGTCATTGAGAATATGCGGTTTTAACTCGGTTACAGGCAGATAATTTTTATCGGAGAAAATGGTGTATTAACCTTTGAAGTGGCTTGACCCAGATCTATGTCAAGGCACCTTCAGTGCTTTATGCACATTCGCTGCCTGCTGCTGTCTTTCCTGAAGACTATAATCCGGGCCTTGTCAAGGCGATAGTGAATAGGCACTTACAGGACAGATATTAAGATATATACCATCCTAGACTGCGCCCCACTTACAGGTGCGATTGTGGTCAAATATCTGCCTTGTTATGCATAAAAAATACGGGGTCCTAGTGTGTTCAGGGGTTAAGGTCAGATACCTGAGCGACGATGTCTGACTGCACATCTCCGTCGTAGTTCTTGCAAGCCCACACAAAGCCGCCTGAGCTTTTGATCGCTTGAGCCACCATATCGTCGATCAGACGGTGCTCGTACCAAATCTTTGCATCTTCAAACTGTTTCTTGTAGTCACTGAAAAAGTAAAATTATGTCAATACCTTTGTAGCAGATTTGCCAACTCATTTTCTATTATGCAGCAGACAGCACCAAGAAGCTAAATACTGCGGCGTCTTATTGCAATATTTTACAACAAAACTATAGTATAATGTGCTGTCTACAGTTAATAATAAAACAATGAGAAAAAACATTAAAAAAAACGTTTAAAAATATACCTCTGATAAATTTCTTCGAAGATATCCTTGAAGCGGCCGTCGTAACGTTTCAGAATGGTGTTTTTTGTAGATAAATAAAGAGGCCATTTCTTTTGTAACGCCACCTGAACAAATTGAAAGAATGGTAAAAAGAACAATAACACATACTTATTCAAGGTTGTAATTAAATGCTGTAAACTTGTACATAAAATATTATTACTTTGATATTAATGAGGTTTAACTTATTCGTGATATTATTTTCTTCGCAATATAATAGATAAAGTATCAATTTAGATTTTAATCACGTGCCGCTTATTATTTTTAAACTTTCTGCCAGGTAGGAGGTATATTATCACTTCACTATCGCTCTGAATCAAGAAACAATAACCCATTACTCCAAACGGATAGTACAAGATGAAACAGCGCCAAAAACAATAGCACTCGCTTTTTAGGAACACGATGTAACGACAATGTTAATGACACGATATGAATTATTAATGAACACAATTTTCCTGTATCACAACTTCACAAGAAAATATACATGACATCAGACAGTTATTATTATGAATGAATGAAATATAATTTTCACCTGGAAACTAGAATGGGCGAAGCTTCTGATGGACTCGTCGATGTTGTACATTCCCAACGCTACGCCAGGGGTTTTGAAGTCGTATAGCAGGGTCTTGGTGACTTTTCCGTCATTTGTTGTGTAAACTAATTCCACCTGTAAAGGAAGTCAACGTTTTTCATGAAGTTTTATGTATTTATTTATTGTTAAAGATTTACCAACGACATAATATCAATTTACATGCATCATTACATTATTAGAAAGCTAGAATCTAAAAGATATGCCTTTACATGTAAATACAGCATTCAAAGAAATAAGTTCTGCTAAAATATTAAGTGCAGTTGATATGCTAAAATTTTTCTGTTCTAATTTCCCCTAACTGATTTGTCGATTTTTTCTGGATGCGGACAAGACAGGACTGTTCGTTGCGCAAATCCTTGGAGAAGACCTTTATCCAACACTGGAAGTCCTTTAGATGAAACGGATACTCTTAGCCATAAGCTCTCTATGAGAGTCTGGTTGCGACCATTCCTATTTCGGCACCAGTCGCAGGATGCTCTTGCACAGGATCGGCTCGCTACACGGTGCCACCAAGGATATTCTGGATGGTTACGTTCGAACTCAGCCACATCTGTCTCCTTACCTTCCCTGGTTGCGGAACCACGAAGTCCTGCGCTTTGTACTGGTCGCCGTGCGCGTGGCGGCCGATGACGATGGGCTGCGTCCAGCCCGGCACCAGCCGCGGGATGCTCTTGCACAGGATCGGCTCGCGGAACACGGTGCCCCCGAGAATGTTCCGGATTGTTCCATTTGGACTCAGCCACATCTTTTTCAGTTTGAACTCTATAATATAATCAATCATTTTATGCTTTAAAATCACGCCGTTCTCTTGATTGTTTTAGATCTCCCTCCTCCTAATAATATTTGCAAGGTTTGGTAAACTTTTGCAGCTCTACGGTTACTTTTGATATGCGAGTTTTTATGTGAGTAAGTAGTTTGAATGAATATTGTGTAAGTATTCATATCTATAACATGGGCTAGTTATAGGCTCATTTATTATTGACAGATTAATTATTATTAAAGTCTATTTTTGAAGCTCAGGCTGCAGGGAAAACAAAATTGGTTTATAAGTTGTTTAAAACAATGTTCTCGTGTATTCAACTCGTAGATAACGTAAGCTTTGCTGTTTGGAATGTTAATGGGGCATTATTTTAAACACTTTTTAAACAGTAGATAACATTAACGTAAACGCCACGTTACCTCAAAGAATTTGCAAACAAGATATCGTACCGGTTCTTGACGTTCTCGTTCATTTGCTTGTTATGTAACCTGCCATTTTAATGCAAGGTCGAATGAAATAAAAATAATAATATGAATAAGTACTAACGCGTTATTCAAAAGGCGTAGAGTGGCAAAAATAAATTATTAAGTAGTTAGGTACTAGGTTTTGCCTCCGTCCGCATAAAATTTGACAAAAAAGAAGCGGATATAAGCAAGTAAAACAAAGTTTACTTTTTTTAAAGACATACATTAAAATGTGTGAGTCCGCGATCGCGCCGAAATCAAGAAGATACGTGGAGGTGACATAAATTTTTAGTGATAACCTAAGTATGTATGTAAAATTATACTAAGTAGGTACTGCTTCAAACAGAAAAGTTGGTTACCAACTTTAATTTTGAAACAATGTTGTGTTTTTGTGTCTGCAATAATCCTATTGGAATACAAAAAACTGGCGAGTGTGTGGCGACCACGAACCAGAAGGCAACCTCGCTCGGTGAACCAGCGACCGTGAATGTTGTGGGAGATGCCTGGATGCATAAAAATTAAAATTCATAAAATTCATTTATTTTTGCAAATAGGCTTTTAAAAGGCACTTTTACTGGCAGGCAGGCAGGCAGCGCAGAATCGGTTGTGGAAATCCTTAGGGGATGCCGTTATCCAGCTGTGCACATCAGACACGATGGACTGACGACCGTGAAGGTTATAACCCAACATACCCTCAACTCTCTGCTCGTCGGGGGTGATGGTGGCGCACTTGATGCCCACATTGTGCTTCAGTACAGCATTTGCTGCGTCGATGGTGACCTGATCATTGGTAGCGTCTCGATGAGGTAGCCCCAAGTCGTAGTATTCACAGTCCAACTGGGTAATAAAAAATATTAATCAATGAGTAAATGGATTTACAAGTAGCGCCGCCCTTAAAGCAAAGAAAACATACTTATTTCGCATGACGTGCGTGTACCAAAATTATAGTGTAGACTGTAGGTACACTGGACTAGACTGCTAACAATGATATTATATAAAAATATCATTGACTGCTAACGTGTAAACTGTTTGAAGGATCATATATTTTCTAAACTGCTATCAATATAACAATGTAGCCGACTAAAGAAGGAAGTGTAATACATGGCATGACACATGACATGTTCACATCCAGTTACACGCGTCTTCTGTCGGTTAAATTGTTCGGTTGTTTTAATTGTGTGCAAAACACCACTCCTCTCTGTCATAAAAATTCGATCATTTCGTGTCATTTCATGATTTGGATTTCGTATTTTTTAGATTTTTATTTAAATACGAAATGAGTTCTTCTGGTACCTACACGTACTACATGAATATCACGTGATGTTTTTGAGTTCATAGAACAAGTTTTAATTGAACCTAACAAGCGGTTCAATTGGCTTGGGCTTGACAGTGCGATCGGGGAATGTTTTCAATTACTTATCTCGTTTAAATTGCAGAAAATTCGTTGATAACGTTTACTATAATATTCGATGCAATAGATAATGAATGATATTATAAAATTTTCAGATTAATAGAGTAAACCGAACTGCCGACAAAGGACTGTCGTTAGTAGCGCTATAGCGGTCATAAAGATATTATAATTGATTACTACTTATTCTATGAAGAAGAAACAATATTTAACGTTGCAATAATGCCAGTCAGTTACAAACATTGACAAAGTCGGTATTCGATACTGTTGTTGCAGTTTGCCGTATTTCATAAGTTTTCAGAGTATTGTGATACTATCTTTAAGCCAAATAAGTAAAATATAATTAAAAAGATATCGAATCTTATATTTTAAGTTCATCAATCGTTGATTTCGTGTAAACTTGATAATATTGGCACCAAACCGCAGAGGGAACCTAACACATCCGTTCGTGCTGCGGCCATCCAACCTTATCGTGCGGTTAATATTAATAATTTATGCTTTCATACGACAGATAAGACTTAACTTCTTGTGAATTTTTATTATTATTTACCTAGTGAGATAAGACTTATTAATCACTGCAATAAAACTTTTTCAGGTGCCTTCTGTTATGTAAGTTTGGAAACTTGCTTTTGGCATCGTCCACGCAAGTTTAGTTTTCTTACGTTTTAAGAATCTCCTATTTTTGTACAGATTTATAATTTAGAGGAGAAGCTTAACCAATGCAGTTAAGTAAGTTATAACTTCACCGTAACCGGTTTTCTTTTGTCTCATTTATCCTGGAAACATGTTGTCCTCAGAACAGTTTGCTACAACATTCTTCACTATTTTTAAAAATAAAGCTAAGATATCCACACCCATAGCGGGTCAATACATCCTCTGTCTCACGGTCACCCATCGCCATCGTTGAAAAATAACAACCGTCGAGTCATTGAACTTCATCACGTGCGCGGAATCACAAAATACAGATCGGGCGCCAGGACGTGTGGACATTTTATACCTACAATGGTAGGCGTGGTGTTTACATTATTTTAACAAGTTCTTTCTTGTTTTTGGAGAACGTACCAGAGCCGACAATATCAATAGATCCTCCAAATAAGATAATGATAAAACCTGTATTCAAAAATAGATAGTTTGGTAACTTAGTAACACGTTCGTGCGTTCGTTTCAGCCAAATGATGTCCACTGCTGGACAAAGGCATCTCCCAAGCATTTCCACAACGACCGGTCCGGCGCCGCCCGCATTCTGGCACCTCCTGCGACCTTCACCAGATCGTCGGTCCACTACACACTACGTCTTCCTTCCTTCTGCCCTAGCGGCCATCAGCTCTGTGAATTATCAAGTTATGTGCCCCGCCCACCGCCACTTGATTTTAGCAATTCTGCGGGCTATGTCGGTCTAGTAACACGTTATAATATCTTAATATTTAAACTTTCAGCCAGTTGGTTTGGTTCGTTGTTGCAGTCAGCATAAGTGAAACTTTTCGTTCGTTCTGAAGAGTTGTGACACAAACGATCGAATCGTCTCTCCAGACCTCTGCGTCGTGCCTGAGTAAAACTTATTTAAGCAAGAAGTAAGAACCAGCGGGACCGGTTTTGTTTCAAATGTAACATTACTGGAATGGTTTTTAAAAAAAGCCACTAGCCTGTCCCCGTTAAGCCTTAAGTTACATGGTTGGTTGAAGTTATTTATATCTTTGTATGGGCGGGCCTACTCTGAGAACAAGTTCCGCGAACTTCACTTCAAAATAAACCAAGCCTACATCTTTTTAAGTTAAAAATATATAGTGTATTTTAAAGTTTCTTTCAAGGGTCTCGAGAACCTGAAGATTACGAGAATACGACATTTCTAGCAAAATTAAATAATTAATGAACATGTTCAAGTGATAGAACTGAAATCCTATAATAGGTAGGTATATCTCCTCTATCTATGCAATTTAAAAAATACATTGGATGACTGGGTGAATAAGTTATCATCCTGGGACTAGTTCAAAATAATACGTGCACATGTATTTTGTAAGTAGGTAGGTATGCACATTTTCCACTGGTATAACATTGGCCTAGTAAATTATAGATAAGAGATGACATTACACAGTGATAACCTACAGTGATACATTTAGGTTCATAATCATAAACGTGATCATGTAAGTAGGTAGGTACCTATACATATTATTTGCATAGAGGATCATTTTTAAAGTACCAGCTATTAATTGTTATCTTTATTATTTGCTTTTATCAAGAAGCTAAATTTAATGCCAGCATTGCTTTTGGTAGAGCCCCACAAACTCGAGGCGACGAAATTAATAGAAAGCAACAAAATAAAAGAATTAATTTTATAAATGTACGGTCAACAGCACGTCAACGTAAACACTGTGGTATCTTACGTAGTTGCGATAGGGGCGACTTTGTAACGAAAATGTATAGCTTGATGTGCTGTCGACTGTACTAATTGTGCAAAAAGCCGTAAAATGGCGCTGCCTGCACATTAAATCGCGGTGTCAAATTTTATTATCAATGTCCTTGACCTCAGACTTGCATGTTCAATATTAATTAATATTTTTAAAGCACTTACGATTTTTATATTAAAATAATCTTAGTGTGGACAACATTAATAAATACTATACAATAAAATTATTAAACTATATTATACAATACATACCTAAGTGGGCATGTGTGGATGTACTCATTTTCATTTCAGCTAGTACAGTCATAGGGTTGCAGATAATTAAAGTCACAGTCCAATTTACTGGTCATTGCTCTGTATCTCGTTTCTAAAGTAGGTTGGTGTTATCATAGTGTAATGTGATCATCATTAAAACTATGGGCTTATAATGTAGTAGTGTTATATTGTTGTGAGATATTTACTACATTTGTTATTTGGTTGATGCATAAATATGCAGGCTATGAAAGATTTAGCTGTTCATTTTAAAGTACTAGCAACTTTAATGTAACTTATTTTAATAAAAATATTTAAAAAGAAATATAATTACAATTCAGTCATCAACATGTGCAAGCAACAGTATAATAATAACATAAATACTGCATAAGTAATATTAATTTTTATTTTTATTAAAAATTTCAGCTGTAGTCTAATGATGCTACGTGGATAGGAGTAATGTTTTCCTTAATTTGGGTACTAGACAATTAATTTCTACCGGTCCATACTTCCCATTACGTAACATACCAAAGAACATTGCAGATCTTTAAAACTTTTTCAACTTTAAATAACTTAAGCACCAATTTTTAGCTTACCTTGACATAGGGGAAGATGAGTTTCTCCTTGATTTTTTCCCAAATGATGCGAGTCATCTCATCACCATCCATCTCAACAACGGGTTTTGACGCCACCACCCTCTTTGCAGTGCCATCTAAAAGATGTATTAAAATTAATAAACTTCTTTAATACTACATAAACCAGTGGTCTTAATAAATAATCATAACAAATATAATAAGTAAATTAAAAGATATTGTTTCTAAAATGAGTTTTAAATTTTGTATATTACTTATCATGATTGTGAAAGGTATGGCACTTATACTATGTATATTTAAAAGACTGTAAACCCTTGAAAAGGAGGCTGAGGCAATAGTGACTGAGTTTCTTGTGCTGCTTCATATTTATTGTCTCGAAGCAGTGGTTAATTCTGGGATGTGTAAAAGTGCCTATTAGCAAAAATAAACGAGTTTTATAATATAGGTCAACTATTAAGCAATGTAGAAAAAGAAGCTGTGAGTATTTGGAATATATTGTTATTTTATAAATGTAAGTAGGTAGGCATACAATATTGCCTACATAATTGCTACAAACTGGCCATAAAAAATAACCACTACTAAAAAAATATATTATGTGCATTACTGCATTTCGATATAAAAACTTTAATCAAAAAAGTTACAGATAACTGATAAATTAAACTTTCGTTTAAAATGTTACCTAACCAACAAAAAATACAATAAGAAAAATACTTACAATTACGGGAGCACTGTGCTGAAACATCAGACACATATTTAAACAATCTTTTGCTGTTCTTACTGGCCATTATGAAAAACTATTTGAATTTTCTTTATTGGCGTCGGTTTAACTAACTTTAGTCACATACACAACATTCACGGCGAGCACCGTATGTGTATGTGTCAGTATGTGATCAATGTGACACCCACTACCTAGAGTAGTGATGTGTAAGTTAACTAAATACTAGTCGACTAAATTAATTAAAAATATACATTTATAATACCTACTGCTGCAATACATAAAAAGTTATTATCATGCACAAGTTTCCAAATGAATTTTAAAAATAGCTGTCATCAAATTATTACAATTATTTATTTATTGCCATCAATAGTATATTACAATTAATTAATGTTATAGTTGATTTTCGTTTAATTCTACAACTAAAAGTATGTCAATTGACTAAGAGTGAACTGTTTATATGGCGTCACCACTTTTTGGTGGGGGTGGTTTAGTTTAGTTGTCACTTACTTACTTTGTCAATTGTTATTTGTTGCTCAGTTCTCCCCACAGATGGTTGGTTCTCTCTCGATCGTTGAAAAGGACGGTTGTAGTACTTGTGTTGTGCTTCGCAGTGCCAGTGGCGTAGCTACCAAGGGGCTAGGCGGGGTAGTGCCCCGGCGCCCTCAAGCAAATTAAGTCCTTAAAAAAAATATGCTTTATCAGGGAATTCAGGGAGTAAGTAAGCTAATGTCAATAAACTTAAAGGCACTGGGTCTCTATCGGAAGGAACTCTAGGGGTGGAATCTCCATTGGCGTGGGTTAGCGGGCAAGGAGATAATATGTTGGATGGTTGACAATCACTTTCCCTACAATTTGACGTTCCACCAAACTCAATACGCTTTCAAAGATAACCTCGCAGCCGCTTGCTCACACTTGACATGACACAACTGATTGACAGTTACCTTTTTCTGCGCATCAGTCGGGTGTTACGTTTAGGAATCACAAACCTTCTGCTCTACAGATTTATACAGATAACATAATATTAAGATTGGTACTATTAATCATCAATAATAATTGCAGCATCTGTGTCCGGCGCCGACAAACTTGATAAAATTTAACCAGTTTAGATAGCAGTGGGGCCCCATTTTTTGCCTCAGGGCCCTTGGTTACCTAGCTACGCCACTGCGCATTGCTCTTTATACAATCACAGTACTCACCACGTTTCTGAAGCACTATTTCTCAGAGTGCCAAAAAGTGCCTCCGAGTGGTTCTGTTTGACGTGACGGCAACGGCATGCCGTCATGCCGGCATCACGCATCTCTTTGTATCAAACAGTGTTGCTGATAGTGACATTTCGCTCGCTCAGTTCTTTGTTGCTCTTTTCACTTACACGAAGATTATTTCCGAATAATTGTTGCCACTAATATTGATCGCCTAATAGGAAACTACTTGTATTATGTCGCATCACTATTGCTAATCGATGCTGCTATATCGCCAGCCGGGCGCCGGCAGACCGGTGAAGCCAGGGTACGGAAACTTCCATACTACGATCAAACTTGCTTCCAAACAGCGACTTCAGTCGATAAATTCCAATACTTTTTTTTTTTATTTATGGCTCTCGCGGATTGCGTTTAGCCACGACAGGGTTCTTGATTTNAAAAGTTTTTGTTTATTTGCATTTCCATGTGCAATGTAGAATTTTTCCAAATCCATTGTTTTGAAAATAATAAAATACGTACACCATAAAGATAAATACTTTCAAAATAATGGATTTGAAAAAATTCTACATTGTACATCAAAACAAACAATAATTCTTTGAAGGTTATGAGGGCCTATGTGTGCGTGAACTGTGTGTATGTGTGCGTGGACTTTATGTATGTATGTGTGCGTGTACTATGTGTGTATGTGAGCGTTACGTACGTAGGTTAAGTACAGCGAATTTAACACCAGGCTGTCAATTAGTAGGCTCAAAAATTTGACAGAGAGGGTTCTCTATTTCCTATGTATTACTTTTCTCTATGGGTGAAGCAGTTGTGAGTTTCGTTTTCTGAAAACCGTATTTGTATGTAGTTATTGTTTGTAATTTCTTTGTTTCTTACTCCAGCAATTTTTAATATTGAGCCCAGTAAAGAAGCGAAGAGCGGGCTTAGTCACCCACCCCTACAGTCGGCTGGTAAGCTATCGAATTTTTATATTTACTATTTTACAAGTTACAAGCTACCCAATATTTCGATTTAATTACAAACTGACCCAACTTCTTTGTCGTGGAGATAACAAGTTGCAGATCCAGTTTATTTGAAACTGTAAGTTCAGAAAGAATTTTATTATCATTACGTACGATGAAATTAATATTTTGTTTCAAAATAACCAAGTGATAAATATTTTTTTTTATATTCGAATATTGTAATATTATTTTTATTTGTTGTTAGTATCGTTCACTAATAATATTAGCAGAGATAGAGCTAAAATTATATTTTTGTCTGTCGTAGTTGGTAGCGTTTAGTGGTACCTACCTGAGGTAGAGGTACCGTACCTCTGTCTTCTATGATTAGAACTGAACATATCTGTGGAACTGAAACTGAAATACCTGCCCCGGTGAATGTCTCCGGGTAGTTAGTGCATTTATTATGCCAAGGCCGACAGTGAGCTGTTTTAAATGCAGTGTACTTTTCTAAACATTACAAAAGAATATTTTTTGCTCATCTCCTGGGGACTTCCATAAACAATAACACAACACGATGCTTTTGTTGATAGATGACGAATGACACTGACAGATACATTTTTAAAATAAAAATGAACTGTATTCACTTATAAATAAAGCTTATTTTTCGGCGCCTTTATATTACTTAGGGTAGAGGTACCTGTTTTCAACCCTTGATGGGTTCATTTTTTCAAACCACACAAGTCTCGATTTAGGTGCGTCTGCGTCACTTACCTACACACACTTCACGCGCGTTCAAACGCGTCCAACGTGTGGGGTTCATACTCGTGTGCGTGTGGATCAACTCGTAAACAAGTCAACGGTCTTTAAAAATGTATGTAATGAGTTACCTAACTAAATGATCATTGCCATAAATCATTTTGTTGCGCGCGCGCTGGCGCCGATGGGAAAGTGGGTGTTTAGAAAAGTTTCTACCCCCCTAGTTAGGTTGGATTAGGTTAGTAGTTTTAACAGAAATACAACATTGATCTGTTGATGAAGATAATTATTATTTAATCATTTGATTGAGTGGGTGACATTACTCATGTAAGTATAGTGGACATTTTATTGATCTTCTATTACAAAATTCAACCATTAATTTAAATGGTTTTTCAATTAAACAATACATAATTTTGCCTGACAAACTGTGCAGACACAACATAAATATTCTTTACTAGCGGCCGTCCGCGACTTCGTTCGCGTGGATCCCGTTTTACCCCCTTCATCTATCCGCGGTTTAGATTTTTTCATACAAATGTTTTTTCCCGCTAACTCCCGTTCCCGTTAGAATTTTGCAGTATCCTTTTGTAACTAAGCTTTAAGTTTACTAAGGTACCTGCATGCCAAATTTCAAGCGTCTAACTTAAGCGGTTTAGATTTTTCATACAAAAGGATTTTCCCGCTAATTCCCGTTCCCGCGGGAATTTCGGGAATTCCTTTCTTAGTGCACCTCTACGGTACCTAAGCTACGTCCCTTCCAGATTTCAAGTGCCTACGATTAGCCGTTTAGGCTGTCTGCACACGCGACGGAAGCTTAAAAAATGGAGTAACTTCTCCCGTTTTCCCAAAATTTCCCTTCACTACTCTGCTCCTAAGTATACTATAACCTGCCCAGGAGTATGAAGAACAATTGTACCAAGTTTCGTTAAAATCCGTCGAGTAGTTTTTGTTTCTATAAGGAACATACAGACAGACAAAAATTTTACTAATTGCATTTTTAGCATCAGTATCGATCACAAATCACCCCCTGATAGTTATTTTGAAAATATATTTCATGTACAGAATTGATCTCTCTTCAGATTTATTATAAGTATAGATTATAAATCTTTATTTCAAAACCAACTTGCACAGAATTTCAAAGTATATACCTACTTAGGTAATTTAGATATTTACACAATAACAATATAAATTTTTTAGGGTTAATTTCACGACAAAAAAGTACCATAATTTAGGCATCGCATATTCCTCATTATTTTAAATAAAAGAAGCGTTTAGGTACGAATAATCGTTCGATTGAGCATGGCGACGGCGAAGTGTTGCGCTTATCATCAGCGGGCCTACTACTACCAAATACCGATTTCGTATCTACTTTCGAATCTATCTATCCCTCTCACTTGTAATGATAACTACAGTGACAGACGGAACCGAATCTACGAAAACTGCGTAAGGTGCAAAAACACGATAAAAGATAAAGGTGTATTCACATAGCCATGTAGCATACGCCGGGAGAGCGACCATTGATTAAACCATGGAACCACCCGTCCGTGTGAGATGCGTAGTTTGTAGATTGCTATTTATAAACTAGCCGTTTTATTTTGCAGGTAGAATAAACCAAAATGTGTGGGTGTCTAAAGGTGCTACGTATTTACAAGCCACTACCGCGAACTCTACACTGCAGGCTCTCTAGCTCCACTGCGGCTCCACCGCAAGTGCCGGGAGTGCCTTACTCTAAACTTTCTATAGGAGTTCCAAAAGAAATATGGCAAGATGAAAGAAGGTACGAGTACCTTAACTACACATACATCGTTTAAATATGTGTAAAAATACAAAGGGTTTAATTCTATAAAATACCTAATACTCCTCTTTCAGAGTTGCAGTAGTACCAGCAGTAGTTAGCAAATTAGTTAAAAAGGGCTTCACTGTAAACATAGAAGAAGGAGCTGGAGCCTTAGCCAATTTCCCCAACAAGACCTATGAAGAGGCTGGTGCCAAGGTCACCAGTTTGAAGGACACATTCCAATCAAGTAAATCAATACATAATTTTTCAGTTAATGTTCTCAATTTTTTTTATAAACGTCATTTACTACATATTTTCGGCATCTTATGTTTTTCTTAATTTTATTTCCTTTCGTTTCCAGACATAATTCTTAAAGTCCGCCCACTAGTGGATTCCGAGGTCCAAAATGTACAAAATGAAGGTACACTTATATCGTTCCTTTACCCTGCACAAAATCAGGATCTGGTCAAAAAACTTGCAGAAAAAAAGGTCAATGCATTTGGTAAGTTACATAACTGTCATTTTCATTTGTTTTTATTGTTTAGTTAAATATTAATCATACTTTTGTTTTGGTTTAAGCTATGGACTGCGTCCCGCGAATCAGTCGAGCCCAGGCGTTCGACGCCCTCAGCTCTATGGCAAATGTCGCAGGGTACAGGGCAGTCATAGAAGCGGCTGCACATTTCCCTAGGTTCTTTTCAGGTAAGATAAAAAATCAATACGCAATTAACACCATAGTAAAGTAAATACTATCAAGAAGTCCACACGATCCAAAATTGTATGGAGTTGATTTACTGTGGTCGTAGTAATGGATTATTTAAAAAATATAGGTATCTGAAAGTTTACTTGTTGATGTTGTGTGAAGGTTAAAATCTGGTATTCAAATGCCGCGACAAGATATGTATTGAGATTACCGGTGGGTTGTGTATTTATTTTCAATGTTTTGAATTTGAACAGCAGCAGATCTTCGCTGCATACTATTTTGATGTTTATTCAGCTGATGCCTTTACAGTTACAATAATTAAATCGAGCTTTACCGACTCGTAATTTATGGGTTCGATCTCCAAGCATGGAAAATAAAGCCGTAAAAAAGTAATGTTCCATTGTCCCATAAATTTATCGCGCCGCGCCGATAGTACTAGGCTTGAGCTAGAAATAGCTCGAAATGAGTTAGTCCACGCATGTCCGTCTCATTTCACTGAGATAATTAAATCTTGGATTATCCGTTAAGCCTATTAGCGATGCTTATCAGATGGCTACGGCATGGCAGCTTGTAAAGGAGCTGGTCTACTTATCTGTCGCTCTTGTGGGACATGACTTTGAATGAGAGGGATGTATCGTAAACAGTGCAACAGCGACCTCTGATACTATGAACAGCAGACTGTAGATATGCAACTTTTTAGACGCAGTAGACATGTATGTTACTGATCACAATACAGAAGGTTTGCGTCCACCAGCACTGAAGTTAGTCGACTCCCCGCAGCTCCCCGCTGGCTAGGTACCGACTTTATGTCGGACGTTCTGGTCGGGCTGTTAACATTATGAACATGTATGGGAAATCCGCACATTACACTGATTTGGTATTGGCCGATTCCTCATACAAATTAGAAGCTGACCAAACTATCGGCGGACTAAAAACTGTAGTCTGTGGGGAGTCTAAGGCTGGGTTGCACCATCTGCCTTTTCTTTAACAAACGTAAAAAATCTGTTAAACTCCATACAAAAAGCACCGGTTGTCGTTAAAGTTAGGTGGTGCAACTTAGCCTAAGTATGCATAAAGCTAAGCGTCCACTTGTCGGTATCGTACGCAACGGACGCATCGTACAAAACACATCGTATCGGATGTGCGATGCGTACGATGCGTACAGGTGGACGCACTTATATGAGTTTCTATATAAATAATACTACGATCCGTTGCGTGCGATACGTCCGATGCGTACGATATCGACATGTAGACGCTAGCCTAAGGTATGCCATCGCTGAACTAAGATAACGTTCACAGGTCAAATGACGGCCGCGGGTCGCGTGCCGCCATGCCGCGTGCTGGTCATAGGCGGCGGCGTGGCGGGACTGGCGGCGGCGGCTCAGGCGCGCTGCATGGGCGCCGCGGTGCGGGCCTTTGACACGCGCCCAGCCGTGCGCGAGCAGATTGAGAGTCTGGGCGCGCAGTTCATCACTATGGATATGAAGGTAGGTGCTGTCTCCTTATTTTAAACCAGATGTTACGTGGGAATACGTGAATTAAGGATCTGTGAAGAATCCTTATTTAACAAGTGTCGTTTTTGTAATTTATCCTTGTGAACGCTACAATAATCAAATAAATAAATAAATTTTCAACAACAGTCTTCTCCAGGTTGTTTGGAAGACCGTCTGAACTGTGCCATTCGAACTTATCGTACCTATTTCCTATTTTACTACTATTGTATTTCGACCGACTCACGCTTCCACCTAAATGTGCCTAGTCAATTTAAATAGGTCTAGTATCTTTTCATCTAGAAAGCTTGCTTGATGAGGCGATGTTTAATATTTCAGCAAGACCCAACCACAAAGTGTACTAAGGTACTCTACTAAGATGAGTAGAGACCAAAATAAGAGATACTGGCAGAATCGCACAAGCATAGTAGAAACGCCCACCATCAATGTATTATGTAGGTAGTGGATATTACTATCGTTTTGCTTAGCTGTGAGGAAAATGCAATTAATCTTAGCAGACAGCATACTTTCTCGTTCAAGGCCGTCATGCTTTCTGCCTATTATCAGATCTCAACGGTTTGCCTAATATTAATGAATTCAAATGTAACAAAGAGTTGCATTTACATGTTGTATGTTACAAAGCGCGATATTAGCATTACCTATCTATTGCTTTCACGCGTCCCCGTGGTCTACCCTATTCAATGACCCGTTTGCGGTGTACAATGCGTATCACGTTTCCCGCCGTGCATATTTACTCAACCGATCCGCGTAGATATGGTTATTGATATGACATTGGAGTGCTTATAGAACTGTTTGCTTTTCAGCGGTGGGCGTGTCCTAACCCTTAGTTAGGGCGCAGCCTCCACCCTCACCTTGATTACAACGGACGGTAATTTACAAATCATAATCAACCATTTCGTAGATTTTTTTTTAATTTCGAGTGCATTATTACTGTTGATAATCTTTGACTATAACATAATATGCATGCGGTACATTTCGATCTTATAAATCATTGTAATTAAGATGGTAATCTTGAATTTATGTTATAATTTTATACCTAGAACCTTACGTAATATGTAGTTGTTTCGCACCATTTGTGGCTTTTCGTAAATATTTGTTATTTCACTTTTATGTTAGTCGCTACGCTATGTTTGCAGAGTCTGTTTATTCGAGCTATGTGCACTTGTGATAAGTTTTTAAATATTTGTTTTACTATAATGGTAAATTGAAGAAAGAAAAACGTTTTTTTCACTAGTATGAAATACAAAGTATGTAGCTAGTTTAGACAAATTAGAAAATTAGTGGATTTCCTCCATTCAGCTACTTATGTCTTTTCTTCACTCCGCGACAACAATTTGTCTTGTATTGTATTCCTCTGATGGATTTACATTCAATGGCATGTTGTTTTCAAGTATCTGGTTCTAAAGCAGTGGGACTGTTTTCCACAATGGCATGTAGGTTTAAGTTAAACTTTGTTACTATAACCAAAATCAGTCAAATGCAATATTGTTTCCGAAATAAGCCGCAAACGGCGACAAATTATTGCTATCCAGTAACTGCCGAATAAAAATAATGGCCTTGAACGAAAATAAGTAACATCAAACAGCGTCGTCCCTAAATTCGTCTCCCTACTCTCGAACCCGATTCAACCGTATTGTCATTGGAAACTGACATAACCATGGACTTTAATACATCGCTATAAGGTTGCAATTATCAATCGTACTGATCGTAACAGGATCAAATTAGGGTAGCCGGTCTCGCCCCTTGCCCTTGACAATGAGAGGGATGAATCGAGCCCCCATGTCCAATTGTCCATGCATCAATGTTCGTCATTTCACATTCAGCGGCCGTAGGTTTGTGACCGAACATGCATCGATTGGATTTATGGATAGGTAACCTTTTTCAATAGATTTAGCTTATTTATTTCAAAATCTGTTTATTAAAATATAACATCTTTAACTACAGGAAGAGGGCGCGGGAGAAGGCGGCTACGCCAAGGAGATGAGCCAAGAGTTCCTGGATGCTGAGCGGGCGTTGCTCGGCAGAGAAGCCAGAACGTCCGACGTCGTGATCAGCACAGCTCTCATACCCGGCAAGCCGGCACCGATTCTCGTTTTAGAGGTAAACAATGCTTTTGTTAACAACTGAATTTTAATTAGTATCTCCGTGAAAATTCGTCACACAATATTTTAACACAACTTGCCGATATGTGCGCTGCTTACTTTGGTTTTCAATATTTTTATGATTCCTGAATAGAGATTACATTAGGACAAGCATTTTGTTAGACAGTTTTGTGTCGGCCGTTTGGTGTAGTGGTTCGAAACGGACTACTATTCCGGAGGTTGCGGGTTCGATTCCCGCACAGTACAAACATTTGTGTGCATGAACATATTTGTTTGTATTGGACTGGGTGTTTTCTATGTATAATAAGTATGTATTTACAAAAAAAAAAAAAAGTATTTAAGTATGTTTATATCCGTTCTCTAGTACCCATAGTACAAGCTTTGCTTAGTTTGGGACTAGAAGCGCAGTGTAAAATGTCCAAGGATATTTATTTTAAGAATACTTTTTGAAAGGCTGAGCTGCCTGTGTACATAGACAGATACCTACATTTTCATTGCGCGAACTAATGAACTATAAACCATTTAGCAAGCCTAGTTACTATCATGTTATTATCTCATGATAATACATAACTAAGCAAGCCGCGTTTGCCACGTGCTTAGGAATAGTAGAGTGGTGTTGTGTCTGGCCAAAGTTCGCAACTATCTCGTCTAGCCTTTGCTCTTAACTAGAAGGCCATAGGCAATTTAGATTGGAAAACTTATCGATACTATTTTCCATTCATGTATATCATGTTATATCATGGGCGATGGGGGCAGCTGTCAAGGCAAGTCCCCTTATTCAGTCTTGCCACAGCTAGACTTGGATCTCTCCTAATATGCACCATTTGATCCTGTCTTCGGCTTGTCGCATCCAGCTAAGGATAAATGAATGAGTTACTTGCTCCGTAATGTCGACATTGTGTATTAGATTCACTATGGAAAACTAATTATATGTTTTTAAAGCTGGAATGAATTGTCATTTAAAGCAAGTTTTACTTTGTAATCATTGGTTAATGTTGTCAACTCCCCAATTTACAGGATGCGGTCCGTGACATGGCCCCAGGCAGCGTGATCGTAGACCTGGCAGCCGAAATGGGCGGCAACGTGCAAACCACCAAGAAGGGAGAGATCGTCAAAGTGCACGGCGTCACTCACATCGGCCTCACTGACTTACCAAGCCGCATGCCTGCCCATGCGTCCACTCTCTACGCCAACAACATTTCAGGGTTTCTATTCAGTTTGGGTAAGTAAAAATACGTTTAAATACCGGCCGTCTCGCGAGAATACACCGGATATGACGTATTTACAACATATTATTATGAAAGAGGTTCGTCAATGATCATAAATAAAAACCGTGTTTAGTTTTTAAAACAACGTTGCGTCTGTTCGTGAAGGTTATTGCGTGAATGATAAAATATTGTTTATTTTTTGCGTTAATTACAAACGTGATAGATTGCCTGTATCTTTTACTATCAAAAGCAATAAATTAATTGCGGTTTCTTTTTGTTTATGTTATCGTCGAGTAATTCTACTTCAGTACTGCAGCGCGTATGTTATCTCTGCCTTATCGCCGAACCGAAATCCGAGCTTATTCTGCATTAGTTATTATAAATATGTGGTAATTAGTATGACAGTGTTAAATAATATAAACATTTAAGGAAAATTGACCGACCATGACTACTGCGATAAACAACAATAAGTCACTAGTTCGTTAGATATTTACTTCAGCTATTACATAAGTAGTGTTTCTGCGGGCTTGACTGCATGTTTTGTAAAAAATGAGAGTCGAGGTTAATTGCCTTTACCTTATCATTGCATTGTCTTATTTAATAGCTTTAAGTGTTGCATACATGATACATGCATTAGGTACATATTTTTTATCTCGACTAATATAAAAATACATTGGTATTCTTATGAAACCAGACTATATTAAATGAATATGATAGATAAGAGAAATAGGTCAACGAAAAAAATATAAGTAGGTATTTTGTATCAATCCATAGAATATTTTCAACGCGAAAGATTATTATGAAAGATGATTGTCATTCCTTCTCGCAAAAACTGCAGAATGAATTCTGATTAAACTTTTCAATATAATAATGATGGTTGGTACAAGTACAATCATCATAGTACAGCTTTACTCAGTTTGTCACTAGATAGCGTACTTTAGCGCAGCGTTAAATGTCCAAGAGAATTTTTAATATGTAGGTAAAGTTATTCATCCTACGTGTTACTTAGATCCTTTTGTTTATTCTCAGGTACAAACGACCACTTCCACATCAACCTCGAGGATGAAGTGACTCGCGGTGCCATAGTTTTGAAGGCGGGCGAGCTGCTATGGCCGCCACCGCCGCCGCCCAGCATGGCTCCCGTGCAGCAACCCAAGCAAGCCGCTGTTGCTAAGGCAGAACCGCCCAGTCCATTCAATGAGACGCTGAAAGACACTTTCTTGTATTCTACAGGTGATTTTTTCAGAATATAGTTTATTGTAAGGTACCAGATCATGGCCTCCTCGAAAGAACACAATTTGCAGTAATGCTATGTAGCTAACCAGAACTTTAGGAGTCGTTTGAAATACACAAAAACTGAAGCGTCAAGTCATATCGCGGAACCTTAATTCCCTGAATAAAATGCATGAGTCGCTTAGAGCGGTGTGTGACGCGGACATGAAACTAAGGTGGATTAATAATATTAAATGGGGTTTCTTTCACAGGGTTGGCCAGTTTAATCGGTCTTGGTATGGTGTCACCAAATCCAGCCTTCACAACTATGACTACAACACTGGCTCTATCTGGTAAGTTAGCCAACTTCCGCATATCTTACGCTGTTCTTGATAAGAGTTTTTTCGTGCGCCGAAAAGCCGCGAAATGCTGCATATTTATTTAAAAAACAAAATAACTTCTATAACAGTTGTTTCATGCACGATAAAGGTGCAATTAAACAAGGTTCAACTATCACTAAGTAAATTAATTAATAACCATTAAGAGCGTTTACGCCGTTTGGCGCAAAAACAGTACTTTTTCAACTCGTTACAATCATTAACCAGTAATACTACAAATATGTTATAGGCATAAATAGTTAGGCAATTTCGTCGTCTAAATAGTTAATTGAGAAAATATTGCGATTAGTTTAGCATTTAAGAATTCTATCAAGATAAGTCCACACAGGTTTTGTAAATTTCCACTTTNTCTTAACGTTGCAATTAAACCTGTTCATTGATTATTAGCTGGTAACTTTTATAATATCATTTACGCTAATTAAGCAGCAACTTATATATCTTGCAAGTTGTGTATACCTTTAATTGATAGTGCAATTAGCTTAATATTTTGCATATTTTTTATCATATTGCGTATTGTTGTACCTATCGTTGGTGTACCTAATAAATAAAATAAAATAAAAAACAATTATAGTGCCCGTAAAATCCCGCAAAATGAAAAAAAAACAAAAGAACTTCTATTCAATGATTCTTTATTCAAATACTAACCAGGCGTGGTGGGCTACCACACGGTGTGGGGCGTGGTGCCGGCGTTGCACTCGCCGCTGATGTCGGTCACCAACGCCGTGTCGGGCATCACGGCCGTCGGCGGCCTGCTGCTCATGGGCGGCGGGTACGTGCCCGAGACGCCGGTGCAGGTAGGCTTATGTGTAGTGTTAGCGCTCCTGCACACGACGCCGCCACCGCGCCGCCGCCGCTCCGTCGCCGCGCCCTTACACTGTTCATATGCGCCGAGTAAAGCCCGCCGCCGCGCCGCCACCGCGCCATCAAAGCATAATTTCGCCAGCGGCACGGCAGCGGGCTTCACGCGGCACGTATAAATAGTGTAGGGGCGCGGCGACGGCGCGGTGGCGGCGTCGTGTGCATGAGCGCTTGTAGGTCCAGTCAGTGCCTGAGGGATGGGAGCGGCATGAGAGGGTGATTTTGTGACATTTAAACGTCAGCGCAGGAGAACCAAAGTAACCGACATAGCTCGCAGAATTGCTAAAATCAAGTGGCAGTGGGCGGGGCACATAGCTCGTAGAGACGATGGCCGTTGGGGCAGGAAAGTTCTCGAGTGGCGACCACGGGCTGGAAGACGTAGCGTGGGCAGGCCTCCTACTAGGTGGACCGACGATCTGGTAAAGGTCGCGGGAAGAGCCTGGATGCGGGCAGCGCAGGACCGTTCATTGTGGAAAACCTTGGGGGAGGCCTTTGTCCAGCAGTGGACGTCATTTGGCTGAAAAGAAAGAAGAAAGAAAGAAAGAAACGTCAGCGAGACTTCAGATTTGTATGCCGTGTCGTGACATTATGTCAATGTCTCCCCTCTCGGACCGCTCCTATAGCTCAGGCACTGATCGAGTTAAGCTCAAGACCTATAGTAGCTAACAAGGCGTGGGCTACCACACGGTGTGGGGCGTGGTGCCGGCGCTGCACTCGCCGCTGATGTCGGTCACCAACGCCGTGTCGGGCATCACGGCCGTCGGCGGCCTGCTGCTCATGGGCGGCGGGTACGTGCCCGAGACGCCGGTGCAGGTAGGCTTGTGTGTAGTGATAGGTCTAGAGCGGATCTGTAGTCTGGTCCGTGAGCACGTAGAATTTTGTCCAATGACCCCAAGCTACCCATCCTTATCGCTCGCGCGTAATTATGTTGCTATCGCGCTCGCACACTCACTGCGGGTGCCAGTCGCTAGGATGGGTAGCTAGGGGTCATTGGACAAAATTCTACGTGCTCCCGGACCAGACTATAGTACGGATTAGCAAGTTGAAGTGGCAATGGGCGGGGCACATAGTACGCAGAACTGACGGCCGATGGGGCAGCAAGGTTCTGGAATGGAGGCCACGTACCGGAAAACGCAGCGTGGGACGTCCACCCACAAGGTGGACCGACGACATCATAGGTAGCAGGGAAGCGCTGGACGCCGGCCGCTACCAATCGATCAACATGGAAAGCATTGGGGGAGGCCTATGGATCTCCTATGGCTGAAATGATGATAGATCTAGAGCTTAACTCAATCAGTGCCTGAGGTATGGGAGGGTGATTTTGTGACATTTAAACGTCAGCGAGACTTCAGATTTGTATGCCGTGTCGTGACATTATGTCAATGTCTCCCCTCTCGGACCGCTCCTATAGCTCAGGCACTGATCGAGTTAAGCTCAAGACCTATAGTAGCTAACCATAATTTGCAGTCTGATGTACTGGCAATACTGTTTCATTTTAGTTATAGAGTTGATAAGGGCGATTTTGCAATAACTATTCTAGAGTACGACGTGCCTTTGTTTTTATTACTTTAAGGTTAAGACTTGTTTTTTTCTCCACAGTGGTTAGCGAGCACTGCCGCTCTCATCTCATTCGTCAACGTTTTCGGCGGTTTCCTAGTAACACAGCGAATGCTTGACATGTTCAAAAGGTACAAAGCATCTTTTTTGGAACTTTATCACTTTAATCTTCAACATGAAATGCGTACATTAAAAAACAAATACGGTAGGGTATGTTAAAATTCAATCATATTTCAATGTTAGGTTTCATTTGCAGGCCTGGTGACCCACCGGAATATGGATACCTGTACGCTATTCCTGCAGCCGCTCTTCTTGGAGGATATATGACCACAGCTATGCAGGTACAAAAATATACTCAGTCTTATTTAAATTGCTTTATAAATGAGTTTAGTTGAGGTCTTCCGTTTGTCTATTTCGGTTGCCACAACTAACACTAACGTGAGCCTTGTTTGACGCATATAGCTAGCCACAGTAATCCGTTAATTAACCGTAGTTAAGATACTAAAATAATTAAGTAGGCCTACTGAAACTGCAGGTGGTATGCGTCACAACAGTCAATGGCTATTATTGCAAATACACTCAACATCAAATAAACCGCACCTTCCGCGACTCTGACACAATCACAATCATGGTGCCCAACAATATTGGTGTTATTTGAAAGCCCAATAAATATCCTTAAAGAAAAACACATTTAATTCCTTAATAAACGATTAACATATACCATAAATGTGATTTGAAAAAAAGACCTCACTTGGGGCTCACCTCTGGGATCAATTAGACCAATTTTTATGGTTATAAAACCAAAATAATGATCTCACGTGTCCTTATTGACAGATGGATAGTGATTAATCCCAACTTAACAGTTTTATGGTCATAAAAGTTGTCTCGAGCGTAACTACCTATTTTTTGAAGAAGTGGCTCTGGATCCTTCTAAAGACACATTTTTGGGGTAAAAACCTTTCCTCTAATGAAATGAAGTTTAGAACTAGGTTTTTATATGGTGCCAATATTGGTGGGAAGTGGGGATGCATACGTTTGAAAGTGCTTGTCGCGGGAGGGGCGATTTATTTTATGTCGAGTGTATATTCAACTTCAGAACTGTACCTTTTTCAGAAATCATAAAACTATTGTCTTTCTAATTGCAGGGTTACCCAGAAGTACATCAGATGGCGTACTTGGCGTCTTCGCTTTGCTGCGTGGGCGCACTCGCTGGACTCAGCTCCCAGACCACCGCCAGAAAAGGAAATTACCTCGGAATGGTGACGTACATGTTTTTAATACATAAATATTTATTTCTCATGTAAGATTTGCAACCAATGATTAAAAATGGCGTGAAATGATAGGTTAGATTTGCTCAAAGCCCAAGACCCGCTCACTGGAAAGTACTCGATGGTTCAAGCATCAATCTTTTACCATTATAAAGACAGTGAGACAGCATAGACAAGGATAGGTAGGGTTAGGTAACAAAATTATTTCATTATCTCTTAAATTATTCTTTTTTTAAATTACAAGTAATTTCTCTTTTTTTTTTCAATTTCTTTTCTATACATTTTCAATTTTAAATAAAACTAACATTCCTCTTTTTTTAAATAAATAATGTAATAATTCTGTTTTTGTCTGCCAGTGCTATTAAGTAGCCAGTTCTTTTGAGACTAAGCTGACTTTATTAGGTACTTACACATTCCCGAATACCCCACATTACAATAGATGCACTGTGATGTAAGCAATATTTGTGCCATAGCTAAATCTGTGGATGCAATACTGTTCTTAGCTGCAGTGCATCTAAATGTGCGTTATTCTCATTCCTTAACGTGGCAACTTGGGCTTGCCATAGCATAACAACCTATGTACAATCCCAAATTTGATGATACTAACAATATGAGGTTGCAATTTTATCAGAATCGCGTACAGTTATCGACTCTATGTCCATGAATGAAAGTTTTATTTTTGTTTGACCAGATCGGTGTGTCGGGAGGTATAGCGGCCACTCTCGGAGCGTTGACTCCAAGCGCAGAGGTTCTAGCCCAAATGGTCGGTGTCGCTGGCATTGGCGGTCTACTCGGTGCTACCATCGCAAAGAAAATTGAAATCACGGATCTACCACAGCTCGTGGCTGGTTTCCACAGGTAATTAATTATACAGGCTGTCCCAAAATTTGTTATTCACACTGACACTGGAGGTAGCTGGGCCTAAGACTCATCAAACAGCTTAATATGTCCATAGATAGAAAGGTGATGAGATTTAAAATAATAACAATTTGTTATTTTTAAGACACACCGAAAAATGCGTCCAAGGCCCATCTACCTCCCCGGAGTCAGTTTGACGTACTAATTTTTGGACACCCTGTTTATGTATCCATCAATCAACCAAAGATTCAATCGTATTCTATTTTTAACTAGCACTTGCAGGGCCGTCTTTAACCTACTAGGGGCCCTGGGCATTTAAGGATTAAGGGGGGCCCTTGCCCTTCGTTCGTTCGTTCGTTCGTTTCAGCCAAATGACGTCCACTGCTGGACAAAGGCCTCCCCCAAGGTTTTCCATAATGAACGGTCCTACGCCCTTATCATCTGGAAAGGCCACCTCGGTCGCGGGGCCCTGGACACGTGCCCAAAGTGCCCAGTGGGAAAGAGGGGCCTGAGCACTTGTTTATTAAAAAGAAACTGTTTACCTTCATCACAGTATCAAGCTTATGCTGAGTGGCACCACGGTACCACATAACTTTATTACTTTAACCGGTAACTAAAAGGCGTGATGAAGGTGAGGCATGAAATACGATGACCAGTGTTTTTTATCAGTTTGACAGATTTTTGACGTTTGTTAAAGTTAAAGTAAGATGGTGCAACCCAGCCTTAAAGTTGCGTTTCCACTGAGACGGTAACCGAGCGGTGTTCTCATAAATTGAAAGTAAAAATAGAAAATACCTATCAAGTACGTCAAGGGTTATATCGAACTTGTTTGCTCCAGCCTCGTGGGTATGGCAGCGGTACTGACGTGCCTCGCGACGTACATGCATGACTTCCCCGCCATGGCGCTCGACCCCACCGCCGCTACGCTCAAGACCTCGCTGTTTTTGGGAACTTACATCGGCGGTATCACCTTCACGTGAGTATCTTTTTTTCTTATACCAAGGCTGTTCAACCTTTTAAAGAGTCGGGCCTAACGGTGGATTCAGTCGTTAACGACTGTTAAGGCGCTACCTCGTCAAAGTTTTCGGCCGACTGAATGCCTCGCACACAGAGGGATAGAAATATGATTTCTCAGTGCGAGGAAAGGGACAGCAATAGCGCGCGCGGCGCGGAATAAAATAACGTAAGCGACAAAAATCGGAAATCATGTATTTATTGAAAAACCAAACACTATTTAAAGAAAATAATTCGACCAGTACTTAGAATATGTTATTACCTTACCAATATACAAAATTTGGTATTGAAATATTAGCCTATCTGCTTATAAAACGAAAAACCGAGTAATAGAAGGGTCATCTTTGGATTTTTTTTCTATCGAGAAAATTTTTTCCATTCATGTTTCGGCTTCGACCAGACACTAGATTTATTAGTCAACTATGACATATTTCAAAATAAGAACATAAGTAATAAGAAAAGTACGATTAAAACTAATTCTGCGCTTCTTTAAAACGCCCAATATTCGCAAGGCATCACCTTAACGACGGGCCACTTACATTTCTGACAGCTAACTTCAGAGAGGTCATAAAGTTAAAGTTCAAGTTTTCGATGGTAACTCATGGTAGAGGTACAGAACGGATCAGAACTGTCATATTTTTTAATTTTTGTGTTTTGCCAAATAAAATGTAATATAAATTATGTAGTATCCTTATTTTTTTTTATTTAATCTATACTTATAATAAATCTGTAGAGAGGTCAATTCTGTACATGAAATATATTTTCAAAATAACTATCAGGGGGTGATTAGTGATCGATACTGATGCCAAAAATGCAATCAGTAAAATTTTTGTCTGTCTGTCTGTCTGTCTGTCTGTCTGTCTGTCTGTCTGTCTGTATGTTCCTTATAGAAACAAAAACTACTCGACGGATTTTAACGAAACTTGGTACAATTATTCTTCATACTCCTGGGCAGGTTATAGGATACTTAGGAATTCCCACGGGAATGGGAATTAGCGGGAAAATCGTTTTGTATGAAAAATCTGAACCGCTTAAGTTAGACGCTTGAAATTCGGCATGCAGGTACCTTAGTAAACTTAAAGCTTAGTTACAACAGGATATTGCAAAATTCCCACGGGAACGGGAGTTAGCGGGAAAAAACATTTGTATGAAAAATCTAAACCGCTTAAGTTAGACGCTTGAAATTTGGCATGCAGGTACCTTAGTAAACTTGAAGCTTAGTTACAAAAGGATATTGCAAAATTCCCACGGGAACGGGAGTTAGCGGAAAAAAACATTTGTATGAAAAAATCTAAACCGCGTAAGATAGATGAAGGGAGTAAAACGGGATCCACGCGTACGAAGTCGCGGGCGGCCGCTAGTTACATAATAAATGTGGTATTACTAACGATTATTCGTCACTTAATATTTCGTAATGCACCCCAAACGAGGTGAAAACACAATCGCAGATTGCATTCCGGTTTGTCAGAGTAGTGGGGGAACAGGTTATAAAAGGTCGGCCAAACGTCTCGGACAGTCATTTGATGTCGGTGCTTAGTGCGAGTAACATCTCTAGCAAAAAGTGACCGTTTACTTATTTGTTCTTACATACTTTATTGAACCTCTATCCTCGTAGAAGGTATTTCGTGACCCCTCAAGTGGGTCTGTCGACGCAAAATGAGGACTCAACACAAAATTCGATATTCGAAAAGTGCACATTTCGCAAAATACTCATTAGATTTTTATTTAATCGTCCAGCGGATCCCTGGTAGCCTACGGCAAGCTGCAGGGCTCGCTGTCGTCAGCACCTTTGATGCTGCCTGGACGGCACGCGATCAACGCAGGATTACTAGCCGGTTCTCTGGGCTGCGGCGGCGCACTGCTGGCCTTCCCAGAGGTGCCCGGCCTACCGCTGCTGTCCGCTGCTGCGGTACTAAGCGGTATCCAGGGCCTGACGCTCACCGCCGCTATCGGAGGTAGGCTATTTTTTTTTTAAGCTCACCTGATGAAAAGTGATGATCAGGCGAAAAATGGAAGCTAGCTTTACCCGGAATCCCCAACCACAAAGGGACTGGCTATCTTATCTCCAACTGCCGGAATACAATGATGTAAGAGTAAGCGCACACCGTTGATTTTTCATCGGCCGATAGTTTAGTCGGGCAGTTGATCAGTATGGGCATTGGGCATGTATGGGAGTGCGCACACTACGCCGATTCGATTTGGCCGATTCTTCATACAAATTAAAATCGGGCACAACTATCGGCCAACTAAAAATCAACGGTGTGCGCCTACTCTTAACACTGCTGCAATGTTATAATTTAGATCTAGTATTCTAGACTGTTGAAAACCAATTTCTGAGGCATTCTTGCTCGGCGGTACCCAAAGTGGCGTCTGCTACTGACTAAAGAAACCGTTTAAGAGTGATGTGCATATCTGTCCCATCCTTTGCTTACAAAACTTTTATTGGTTTTATTATTAGGTGCGGACATGCCAGTGGTGATCACAGTGCTGAACAGCTACTCGGGCTGGGCGCTGTGCGCGGAAGGCTTCATGCTCAACAACTCGCTCATGACCATCGTGGGCGCTCTCATCGGCAGCTCTGGTGCTATCCTGTCCTACATCATGTGCAAGGTATACAATCTTTAGGATTTTAGTACTTTCTTTAGGTTCCCGAAAGGTGGTCCGCGGAACCCTGGGGTTCCGTGGAAAGGCCGCAAGGGTTCCGTAAAAAATATTATCCCACGTTTCGTGACCGACGTTGTTCGCGCGCACCGACTTGTTTACAAATAATTGCATAAAAACTTTATTGTTTTACATTTAAATTTCCATTTGTCAAAGTAGGGTTCCGCTAGGAAAAGTATAAACAATTAGGGTTCCTTGGCAAAAAAAATTGGGAAACCCTGGCCTAGAATACTGCGTGTGCGCTGTGTACTGCTATTTTTATGAATTGTCATCTAGTTCTATTGTAATTCTGCATTTACGTTGTGTACTGTTACTTTTGATGATGAATCTCCTTATTACTTTTATGTTGTAGCCCAAGTTTTTATAAACTTAAAAGTTTTTTGAACCCTTTCTAGTATCGCTGGGCTAAGATAGTTATTTTAGTCTTGAGTTGAAATTCATCCTGGTCCTTAATATTTTCTTAACCATAGGCCATGAACCGTTCCCTGCCCAACGTAATCTTGGGTGGCTACGGCGTGGCCACAGGCGGCTCGGCGCGGCCGGCCGGCGCCACGCACACAGAGCTCAATGTGGACTCGGTGGCTGACCTCATCCACCGCGCTTCCAATATCATCATCACGCCTGGTATGTTCTGATTACTGTATCGAAAAATAAAACACTGTGTGCCTCGCATGCGTGAGACGTTTCCACATTAATAGGTGGGCGCACGTGGTGGGTCTAAACTAGAAATTTGATACTAGGTGCACCTATTCCTAGTAATTATTTATACTCGATCCTAATACCTATTCCACCTAGTACGTAGTAATTTAGCATACTTGACGCGACTAGTGCGGACTAATCCACGTAATATGACTTTAAAAAATACTTTTTTTTTTAAGATACAACCGTAGTATGAATAATGCAATTTGAAATTGAATAATAATTCCTCCCTTCATACTTCAACAGGCTTAACAACTTAAAAGTTGGCGTATTTAAAAGATATCAATTTCATAAAAATATTTACATATTTTTTCTTATTTACATGAATATGGTTTGACTACGTTTGTGTGCGTTTGCTTCGTCGCGCTCAAATTTGTTTGGTCAGACAGAGACGGAGTGAATCTCTACGTTCGCACATAAGCTTAGCGAGAAATACTAGGTGCGCGTAATACACGACTACGGATAACGCAATAATAACCTCTATTACTTTGATGATAGGGTCGGAAATCGTGTAATTTATAAAATACTAGGTGGATCAAGTATTTAAAAAATTGGAATAGGTGCCGCCTAGTACTGTAAAATACCTAGTGTGTGGATCTGTTCTAGTAAATACGTACGTCTCATCTCTAGTCTAAACCGGTCCGTTTCTTGCACCCGCGCATGTTTAACGTAGGCCCTTGGCTGCCTGTCCACCGAAGCGGAACGAGGGAGTAATGCAGAGCAGATTGCGAACTGTTTTTTTACATTCGCGAAGCAAGGTGCGATCATGCAACGAGTCATTTGTTTTCCCCACTTCGCTTCTCGGATTTGTGTGAGTTTTTAAACTAGCTCGCAACTCCCTGTCCACTGAAGTGGAGCAGATTTTTTATGCATTTTTACCCTGGTTACTGCTCCATCACCTCGCTACGTTCCTGTGGTCAGGCAGCCTTAGTATCCACGTTATCCGGGGCGGCTACGGTGTGGCCTGGGAACGTGGGAAATACTGTCAACATCCAATATGTGCAGAGTTTTATGTAAATGAAAGTTTCTTATTTAGATTTGTGGTGGTCCTTCCCTTTTCCCCTTAAAAAATAAACAATAACATTTCAAATACATTGATGCACAGGTTATGGACTGTGCGTGGCGAAGGCGCAGTACCCGATCGCCGAGCTCGTGGACCTGCTTAAAGGCATCGGCAAGAGGGTGCGCTTCGCGATCCATCCAGTTGCGGGTAAATATACTAAATATAAACTATTCAATCCACTCTTCAACGGCAGTGCGTGTAGAGTAGACAAGGTTGAACACCATTATCTACAGGGTGTTACTTTGCATTCTTGCCATATTTACAGAGGTTACTATATTACTGATACTGAACACAAATCCGTAAAAAAATAATAACCGAAAATATTTTTTTTTAATCTTGAGTATATTATTTTATCGACAATCTGTTAAACACACCACTAATTATCGTAACGCATGCACATCACTTGTTGGCGATGGCGATGGAGACTTTTTTACTTTTTATTGTATTTTTAAATATCTATTGCAATCTATTGTCTTTAAAATGTCTTTTTGACACTTGTAAATAACTGAGAAATCCATCAATCACAAATCACGTTATAAATAATACAAAAATGACTGAAGTGTATTCAAACAACGAATAATGTAATCAAAATAGTGCTTGGAGTGTCTGCAAGACGTCTTAGACGAAATGCTTGATGACGTACCCTTAGCGTTACACCAAATGCTCTACTACCAGCAGGATGGTGCTCCCCCACAATAAGGACGTCAAGTCCGTGAATAATACGTTTGGTGAACAGTGGATTGGACGAGGGGTCCAGTAGCTTGGCCACCACGATCCTCGGACCTGACACCAATGGATTTTTGGGGTGACTTGAGACGACTGGTATGCGCAGAAGAGATAACAGTGTAAACGCGTTACATGAAAGGATTGTTTTAGTGAAACTGTGAGACAAATCGTTTATGTGTTGCGAAAACTAAAGCGAAAAACCTCCGCTTCGCCGTGCTAGACTGTGCTTTCATCAGAACGGAGGACATTTGAATACTTGCTTCGCAGTACGTAAACTTTGTAAGTAGGAACTTATAAATAAATAATTAATTGTGAATAAGGTAATTTCATTTCATACTTAATTTATTAATTTATAAAAATAGGGTACAATGTTATAAATTAATTAAAACCCTAATAATTACCTATTACGTATTTTTGACGGTCCTAAGCCCGTAAAGTAGAAAGGAAAATCTGAAATCAACTGAAAAGTATTTTAAAATAATTATTATGACTGGATAAAAAGGCTGGTACCCAGAGCCATAAAACATCAGATTATTAAGAACTAGGCCACGCCCACTAGGTTTATTCCACTTGCACCTGTAGACCGTGCGAGACAAAATTGGTTTATTCCAATTTGTACTAAAAAACCAAATTTACTAAAATCTTAGTGTACTTTCTTTATGGGAGTCTCTTGTTTATCTTAAATAATAGGTATTGTTCCCTACTTCTATCTCTGTGAATATGGCAAGAATGCAAAGTAACACGGTGTATAATGAAATACTTTCGGAAATCGGCTAAAAATTGTTTGTATGAGGAGCGGCGGCTCCTCCACCTTTATTCAGTTTAGTCCTATATATTTTGTTGCTTTAACCTTTTAGGATGCCGCTCCTCCCCCTATATTGCTAGAATTTAGTCCTATACCTTTTGTTACTATAAGATCCCGTTTTGGGTACGGTACCCTAATAAGTATTCGTATGATTAATATTTTTATCGCAGGTTGTTAAATAAATATTGTTTATCGTAGGACGTATGCCTGGCCAGCTGAACGTGTTGTTGGCAGAAGCTGGAGTGCCATATGATGATGTCTTTGAAATGGAAGAAATCAACGACGACTTCCCCGAAACTGACCTTGTGCTTGTTATTGGTAAGTTCTTATATAACTGTATTTTTATTTTATTTCGGTTCAAGTAGCAAAAATACTGTTTTAAGCCTTTTAAGGGCGAAGTAAAGCTTTCACATAAGGAGTGTGGTTCAGAATTTTTTATTGTTATTATGATAAGAGACATTTTTGAGAACTAATATTCTTTTGCAGGTGCTAACGACACCGTAAACAGCGCAGCTGAAGATGATCCTAACTCACCAATCGCAGGAATGCCGGTCTTGAAAGTATGGAAATCAAACCAGGTAGGTTTTGGGTTCTCAAATGCAAATTGAATAGTTAGTTGACCTTGACTGTTTTGTTTTTTGTGACCAATCTGGTTCCACGCGACTTTAAGTCAGTTAATCTTCCAAATGGCTTGCAGAATAAATAAACATTGAAAAAATAATTTTTAAAACAGATCATCTTCAATGATATTTTTATCAAAAATGTCTGGACAAACACGATTAAGAATATTGATAGCAGTATCAACTTTATTTATAGCTACTTATTCGAAAGAAACTATTTTGCAAAAAAATAAGTAGCTCACCTTGTCCCATACAAACTTTAACCCCCTTTATCACCCCCTTAGGGGATAGAATTTTGTAAATTAACCTTTAATTATGATGACCTAGGTGGTGGTTATGAAGCGGTCAATGGGCGTGGGATACGCGGCGGTGGACAACCCGATCTTCTACAACCCTAACACGGCCATGTTGCTCGGAGACGCCAAGAAGACGTGCGACGCCCTCCTGGAGAGAGTCAAGCATCTGGCGGCTTAAGCCTTGACTAAATGGTACAGTCGACAGCATGTGAGAATATGCATTTATATTGCATAGTAGCACCTATAACAACTACTTGAGATGCCATAGTGTATGGCACGATGTTCTGTCCTCTGTACATTTCTGAAGGTAGCTTGAATCACATTTAACAAAATGTGAGTATCTAGGAGGATTGATTATTATTAATATACTTTTAATAACTTTAAAACACCATAAGTACAGATAAACTAACCATATAAAATGGTTTTCCGAAACTTAATTTTGAATTGCAATTCGGCAAGATTATTGCACCGACAATGTTGATTGTACTTACGATAACCGTTAAGTATGGATTTAATATGTGATAAGAAATATTAACTGAAAAAAGCGGTGCCATCGAACCCATGTTGCTGATGATATTATAAAATACCATAAAGTTACATGATACGGTATTATGAATACAATGCTATTCCCTAATGTATGCTGACTTTTTTCTAAGATAAAATTAAATCGGTTTGTGTGAAATCGATTTGGATGTTGCTACTTAGAAATAATACGTACTTATAGTAGTAATTTTAAAGTTTAAATATGTGCCTTAAATCATCAATTTTTTGAGACTTATGACAGCTAGTCTGTGTAGTATGTAATTTTTTAACATTTTATAATTCGAATTTTATTACAATTTTATTACAATTTATGTAATTGAATGTCAATATTTTTAAAGTCTATCTATAACATGTTATATATGAGAGTTTAAGATATAACGGGTGTAAAAAAACCTATCCCGAAGCCGAAGACTACTTATTCTCCACATCATGAGGATCATTTTTTTCTTTGGGACCATACCTGGGAAACTTGTGGTTTAGGAGATATTGAAGGTCAAAGTCAGAATATTTTTTTCAAGATTTTTACATTATCAATTACAATTCGTTATTTAAAAAAATGTTTTCTAAGAAACCTTATTAAAATTTTGAGTATTTTCGTCACAATAAGGCTTTTGTCTTTACAATAAGAAATGTACAGTAGCGCGCGCACACACGCTCAAGCGCTGCCCCCACGCCCCGCAACCGCAACCCGTGCTCGCCCATGAGTCATTCAACTCTACTGTGAGTTCAACGACTACGACTGGACCAACTGGAATAAGCTTAAGCCAAATCTACCCAGTTTGTAAAAATGAATTGAGTACTTAAATTAGTTACTTACACCTTATTATCACCTTACCAGTTTAGTTTTTATTCTAAACAATAATTAATTACACTTTTATTAATAAAAACCCTTTACACGAATTTGTTTCTTTCCGCAAATTAAATAATCTTACAGAACCTAGGTTATTAAACATTATTAACTAAACCGTGCTTTTACTCATAACCGTTATTCTATCACAATGTAGTAGGTATCACAGGTCTTATTAGCTATGCAAGTGTGATAAGCGTAAGTAGGTATCATTAAAAAGTACCGTAAACAGATGAATAATGATCTTTTGAATGAGGCCTGTAATTCTTTACATTCTTAACTGTCTACTTCAATAACTTAAGTCTTTACGATAGTAATAAAATTCATAAAGTAAAACTCAAATTATTGCTTACACCACACCGCTCTGAACGCCTAGAGTAAACACCTGGCAATGTTACTCCTATCGTTGATTAAGGCATTCACTTTCGATAGGAGTGATGATTGTGTGTTCTTTAAACTTAATTGATTTCAGCAACTCCCTTGAAAAATCTCAAACGAAATCAACTGCATAGTAAACAACCGCCATGATGGGCCGGATTCGGCCGATGTTGCCACATTACCGATACCTCAGAAATTGGGATTGTAATTCCCTGATTCGCCAACACATTAAGCCTAAATGGCCGACAATTTTGTGATTTTTTATTTAACTAGGTAATCTAAGTTTCAAATATTGATTATTTATTTATTTAACTTCTTATTTGGTTAGTGAATTGGCTATTTCGAAGAATTTACAAGGAGATTTAAATAAGAAGATAGCAATACTACAGTTCACACTAAAAAGAGAGGTAGGGCCACAGAGAGCGAGATAGATATAAGTAGGTATTTGACTCAAGTTTTGTTCCCAACTTTGCCCTCCATTTTTATCTGTAGCTTCATGCCAGTGGCCCAACGGCAGCACAAGCGCAATGGCGGCCATGACGTAAGCTCGTGTGCGTGCGGATTTTTGTCAGTGTAGTAGTGAATCAGCTGAACAGGGTGTTGTATTGGGTTGATAAGAAATGAAGTTGTTTCCTTAATTATCTCGGAAACTAGCCTGAATTTTTGGCTCAAACTTTGGGAACGTATTCAGTGTGACGTATACATGCTCCCATTAAACGGAACGTAGCTGATTTAGAAGGACCCTATATAGGTACTTTCAACTGCTGTTTTTCAAACTGGGTGGGGTACGGAACGGTCTACTCCATGCCGCAGCTAAATCATCTAGGCCACCGGCCAGGCCCGCGGAATTGAAGATGAAACCTACCACGCAGATGAAGTCAGCCGCCCTCGTGATTAAAACACGCGGACTTTTCCTGAGGTGTAACCACATGGACGTCACGTCGACCTCACCATCGCACCCCAGGCAGGTAACCGACAACCTGGAATAAAATAAATGGCTACTTTTTACTCGACCTGCTCAAAAAAGAAGGGTAATGTTTTTTAGAGTAATAAACTGCGGGTAGTCCGCTACATAGTACCATCTCAATGACAATAATCATTGTCTGCAAGGCGGTACGAAGTTCGCCGGGTCAGCTAGTTTTTTTTAGAAATAATGCAAAAATCACTTGTCAGCAATATTGCAATGAGAAAATTTCGCTTTTGCCGAGATTAGAACATCCATATCTGTATCTGTGAGGACATCACTATAAAAAAAAAAGTCCAGAGCCCCGATTATACGGTAACTTTTAACGTTTCCAATCCAGACACGCTTCTCGATTCTGCGATACGATTGGTCGTTCAACAGCGTACGTCAGCTGTTTTGACCAATCGTATTGCAGAATCAGAAACGCGTCTGGATTGGAAACGTTAAAAGTTATACCTATCTGAGCCCCGATTACGGTAATTTTTAACGTCAACAATCCAGACACGCTTCTCGATTCTGCGATACGATTGGTCGTTCAACAGCGTACGTCAGCTGTTTTGACCAATCGTATTGCAGAATCAGAAACGCGTCTGGATTGTAGACGTTAAAAGTTACCGTAATCGGGGCTCTGTGGTTATACCGTAATCAAGGCTCTGTCTTGGCAGTTGGCAGCTGTCCACTCATCTGTGCTGTCCACCCACAGATATGGATTACAGCAAGTTGCTAGTCAAAGCGTGCCATTCCGATATGTCCAAATGGACATACATGGTCGAGTGATGTTCATGTAATCCGATTACAACAATCGGATACGATGATTTTACGAGGACAGTAGTACGAACACGGTAGAGAGAAGAAATTATTTACGGATTGAGCATTGTAATTAACAGCAACGAGTAACAAATATTATGTAATTAATTAGAATAAAGTAGCAGTAGAAGAATTATAAAACAAGTTAGATCAGTGATCGCGGAAGACAGAGTGCACTGAATAACGTCGAAATATACAAATCAAGAAGTTAGGTCAGTGATCGCAGTATACACTATTACTGTCTATGTATACGACGGCCGAGATTTTGTCGTTTAGAAATATCTTCAAAACTAGGTACCTGACTTAGCTTTATGAAAGAAAACGTATTGGCAAAACTACGCATTTTTGCATTTATTAAAAATAAAAAGCTTGAGTAAAATAGCCTTTATTTTATGAAACTATGTCATTTACTTACTAGGATATTTAAAAGTATGGAATTAAGTATGAATTGCTAGTAGGTACTATTTAACATAGTGGAATAACGATCATTACTTTCATAAACATTAGGCACAACAAAAATATTATTTGCAAATTAATAATGTAGAATTGTAGAATAACGTCTACCGCTACAAAATTATTTTAATCCACAGTCAGACTAGCTATAAATTTAACAAAATATCAGTTTTATCGGAATTAATTAATTTTGCAGTACGATGATACGATTACTTTTACGTTGCGGCAATCACTAAAATTCGCTAAAATGACACTAATGACGTTTAAAAAGTGGCACGCTCGGCTTCATACAATTTTTGACACATGCTGCATCTATCCATATCTGTGTGTCTGTCGCAGTCGGATTGTATAATCCGCCGTTTTACATTACCACTAGGCATTTTACATTACAGCTCTGTTTTGTAATACGGCGGTTCAACGTTTAGGCGGATTGAATACGGCTGAATGAAAATCCGCCGGAATGTATTCGGCGCCAAACGTTCTTCAATACGGCTAGCCGTAATGTAAAACAGCGTGTCATTACCCGCCGCTTTGACAGTTTTTAGTTCCCATTTTCAATACCGTGGCGCTGCCTGACATAACAACAACAATGGCGTCGGATGCAGAAAATGTGTTGCTAAATTACGGTGTTATTTCTGAATCTAATAAAGAAAACGTTAAAATATGTGTGTCGACAGTGAGTTTAAGAACAATTTTAACTTGCAATTGAAGAATTTCTATTCTTCACAATGTGGAACAGTCAGAAAACCGTGGACAAGGGACCGAGTTTTGGAGGTTATAGCCCACATCAAAACCGCTAAAGTGGCTATGGATTCTGGTGTTCGGCGGAATCCTACTCAATATTATTGGTGCAAAAAGTATGATATTATGACAGTGGCCGGTGAAGATTTTGAGATATCTTTTATTTTAAGATGTTTGTACCTTGTGATTACTCATTATGTTTAAAAATGACTAAATCCAAATGGCCAGTTCGGTTTCTTCGGTCGTCGAATGCGCTTGCGACTTTTGATAGTTTTCTCGTGCGGTTAGTTAGTGTGTGAACGTGTGATAGTGAGTGTGGTAATAGTGAATGAGTGTTAGAAAGATGCCTAACCATACGTACAGTGCTCGTGAGTACGTAAACATGGTTTACTGTTATGGGAGGGCACGTGGAAACGCATCTGAAGCCCTGCGGGCTGTAGGTATCGGGCTGAACATCCTACAGCGCAGCCCACCACACCGTACTGATGCACGTATTTTTGTTCTGGCTGTACAACGTCTGTTGGACAATCAGCCGATTGTGCCTCCGTCCGCCTCGTTGTGGCCTCGTCTAGGCGTGTATTGTGTCGGATTTGAGGAACTTAAATACCGGTCTGTACGTGAAGGAATACTGGAGCGCGCATCAAAACACGATTTACCGGGCACGCGTTTGCTTGCACGTGGAAGGCCGTCAGTTCGAGGCACTGTCCGGTTGGAGCCACCGATTCCAGACGACGTCGAAGGGGATTAGTCGGTAAGTACTTAGTACTAAGTTCTCTAACAAATGCTAAAGGAATGTGTTTTTTAAATGTAGGAAGTGAATAATCTGGTAATTTTGTGTACAAAATACGGTCGCGGTAGGTAGTGGCGGGAAAGCGCGTACGCTCCAATACACTCACACACACATAGGCACGGTCATTGCGTTGCGTGGCGCGCTATACATTGCGGGCTGCGGAATATTGTATTTTTTTTAATCATAAAAATAAAAAATATTTCCCACCAATAATATTTTGTAATATTACTTGGTTGGGTGTACAGAATGCGTAGTTTCAGTCTTCGTGATAGGTTTTTTTACACCCTGTATAGTTTAATTATATTATGGTTTTATTGAGAATCTATTGTATTGTTATGGCCACTACCAACCTTTTAAGTATTTTTTCCCTATCCTGCCATTATGCATTCCAAGTACTTCATGTTAAATTCTGCTGCCTGCTATAGAATGATTGAGAATTAGTATAAAGTCGGTATTTATGAAAAAAATACCCTTAACATCTCGTGCTTGGTTTTCCTTCTGGCACAGTGCAATATCATTCCATATTTATATGATGTGTTCTTGATATAAGTGTCGCTTAACTTCAAACTCGGATAAATCCACTCTACCCTGTTCGGAGATATTTAATAAAAAGTGTTTATAGTCTTATTTTCATGAATTAAAAGGCAGTTTTTTTTTTATTATGGCACTACTATTGAAATAAATGATCCTGTTTATTCATTTCAGTATTTAAATCACGCATTCTCCCAAAAATTTAATATTTAGTTTGGATTTACCTTCATTTGATATAATGGAATGCAATTTATCCAACTTTGAAAAAACGCAATGAGGATTTATCTAATTTTGATTTAATAGATACGGATTTATCTAGTTATGAAAAAACACGATTAGAGCTAGGGATGTGGTAGCACATGTGGTAGTGACGAAATCACGGTATACCTACCATCGACAGTCAAATTAGTAGCAGCAAACTGAATAGAATANATTTAGTATTACTTGCAGTAACGAAGATAATCATTCTTACTTAATCACTAAGGAATATCGTGAGAAGAAATCTTTCTTATTAAAATTTATTTTCATTAAACATTGTTTTATTTTGTAAGTATGGTCACCCTACAATCTAAATAGTAGTACGATGCGGCTAAACGTGGGCCGCCGTATTGAAGAACGTATCGCAATGACAATCCGCCTAAACGTTGAACCGCCGTATTACAAAACAGAGCTGTAATGTAAAATGCCTAGTGGTAATGTAAAACGGCGGATTATACAATCCGACTGCGACATGTCCACCACAGCCCACAGCTGTCAATCATACTGTCAACTGTCAATTTTGACATTGACATTTAAAAACTCATGTTTTCGTCTACATGCATGCTTTCAAGCAATTTTATTATTTTTTGTTAATAACGCTATATAATTGCAACTAATTTATTCTACGGAAGTTGCTGATACAATTCTTACTGTTATCTAAATATTCATGCACTGTGGTGTACATAATTTTTATACTTCACTGCGCCATGCTCTTCACTCTTGTCTGACTGAATTTCATTAACCCACGAGCGGTACTCTCGGTTAGTCGTATTTGTGATGTTAATGCTAAGTGTTTAGTTTTTATTCCAACACCCTCACTACCCGGTGTTTAGCATGGTATGTTACCCCACATTTTTTGTTTCTTTGAAAACATTAATTCAAAAATCCTTATTTTTGGAGCGCTATAAATAAATGTGACTCAATATGTTTGCACTCTTCCGTAGATTGTACAGGTTGTAGACTAAAAACTGGATAAGAAATGTACACAAATATCCCAATAAAAGCACTTGCTACACAACGGAATGACAGTTTTTGGATGTTTGCCTTTAAGTTCACATTGTATTGTTGTTATTTTAGGTACTAGGCATAACTTTTATTTTTTAAATAATATAATATAATAACTATTATTACAGGCTAGTAATAATAAAATGGTTGCACCAAGTAAGGTGGCATTGCCACCAAGCAGTGATGAAGGACTCACTGTCCTGTCCATGATATACAAATTCTTCAAAAAGGTAAGAAAAAGAAATAATCCACATCTGAAAATAACAGTATGTGATTGTCTTATTTTTTAAATTCTCAATTGTAGTTACATGAAAATTTATTTAGAGCAGTTTCAAGTTTAAAAGATTGTTACAAAACTTTTTCGTATGTAGTCTAACTTGTTTGGGGCAATGACTGTATATCCTGAGTGGCGACCTTGTAGCTAATGTTGCTATCAATGCTCTCTGACTCACAAGATGGGCTTCTGACCTTCAACATTTAAACATTTGTGTCTTTAAACATTCAACTCATTCAAGCTTGTTGTTGTTTTATATTATTTATTTGTTTGGGACCTTGAAACTAGCTATACTACTACTACTACAGTTTCGTAATTAGTTCCGTATGTTTGTTTATGAATAATATATCCCTCAAATTCAAATTATGTCAATAATTAATTAACTAAATAAACAGAGTTATTATTTGCCATTAGTATAAAAAATAAACCTATCTAATAAAAATCTTGAGAAATTCCTTAGTTTTGTTGACCTTGTTAATCCAAGATTGCAACACTATCAAAACTATTATTACAGAAACTATAATGTTCATGTTTCTTATCAGCAGTAATAACCATGCTGACCAACAACCACAGATAAGTAGGTAGATGTAGGTGTTGCTACCAACTACCTACTCTAATCATTTGTATGGCAAGTGTAGCCTTTGTTGATAGTGATGACATCATTCTTGCTGGAAATATTCCCAGTGGGTTACGTTCAACTCACATTAGATATTTTAATGAGCATTACGAGACTAATTTTAACAAAATACCATGCATGAACTTACATTATTGGCATGCCTATGACCTAATCTAATAAGAATTTCTTAACATTGAACATTCTGTAATATTTTCTATGAAACAAATTTTTAGGTTGCAGTAGTTGGCGCCGTGTACTTAGTAGGTTACATGCAATGGAGTGTGGCTTGGCTCATTGGACCAGTCATACTGTCGGTGATGAGGGATCAATGGCGCAAAGAGAGCGAGTCCAGGCGAAACATTGCCAAGGCTGCTGCTTTATCTTCAGAGAGAGACGTCATCCTAGCACGACTAGACGAACTTCCTTCCTGGGTGAGTGGCCTGCTGAGCTATTATAAAGGACTAGTCGCTGTGGCCTTTGTCCAGCAGTAGACGTTATATGGCGGAAATGACGAATATTTTTTATCATCTAGGTTTAGTACATTATGCTTCCTTGCCATTTTATGTTGGTATGTACTTTATGATAAATTATGACCTAAGCACCTGTGCAAATTCCGGTGCAACGCCTTTGCTTATTCAATGCAAATATCTGACTCATAATGTACCTACCTGAACAGTCATAGCTTAATCATGATGTTGTGATTTCGATCTTTGAAGAGCCACAAATTTTCTTGTACCACTTTTCTGGAATGAATTTGTCTTTAACAAGTTGAACTTTATAAACATTTTTCGATACTATTTAATGTGTTAAGAATTTTTTACTATAATAATAGAGAATATTCATATTATGCATTATAATTTCGGTTGGATCGATTATGAAAATGTAATGTTCTTTTTCCCCTTTTCCCTTAGGTCTTCTTTCCGGATGTCGAACGCGCGGAATGGCTGAACAGAGTGAGTCATTATTTAATTTAGTCCCAATAATTTGCCAGTTAATTTCCTGATAATAAATTTTTCCTGATTTCAGTAGTAAGTAAATTAGCATGCTTAAAGTTAACGAACATTAACTAGGTACGATTGGCCTAATTCTCAACAAAGGGCGCCATACACGTGTACTTCTACTACTTAGCGCACGCTTACGTAAGCGTGTGTTAATCGGCTCAGTCTGGCGTTAAAATCGAAATGTAATTATGCAGATTGATCTTCGGGATTAAGGCCAATAGAGTGGCTTTGCCATTCAACAACTTCCGAAACTAATTGTAGACGAGTTTATACTCGTCGACAATGTATAGCGCTTTTTATAAAAGTTTTGTAAATGTTCTCTACTAGGTGTATATGATGAATTAATAGAAAAATTTATACATGAAAATTAAAGAAGATTCTAAAAACGCTAACTGTATTTCAGATTCTACTCCAAGTGTGGCCGAACGTGAACCACTACGCCCGAAGTCTAATCAAAGACTCCATAGAGCCGGCTGTGGCTGAAAGCTTGGCTAATTTTAAACTCAATGGATTCAAATTCGAACGCATGATACTCGGTACAATCGTAAGTATCAATATCTTGTATTAAAAGCAAAACTCTTGAGATTGTCTGTAGATGCAGAACACACACACAGTTGAGAGACAAAAGTTGGAACTTTTTTTTGCTAAAAAAGTTTTAATTTCTTCAACACTTCACCCCTGTTTCGAAGTTACATAAAAAACAATAAATGTATGCAACTTTTATGGATTCGGAAACGATTTTGTTCCTTTATGTCTACAGTTATAACTAAGATAATATTTATTAATAAAAAATAGGTATATGTTCCTGTGAAACCCACCATACTAGCACTTACTTGTATCAAACAGTTAACAAATGTGAAAACGGTGCCATTTTACCAAAAAAAAAAACTGATTATAATAATGTGCTGTGAACTGCATCTATCAGCATATTAGTAATTGTAAAGTGCATTAACCACCTATCGTTCTGGTTGCAGGCGCCTCGTGTCGGCGGCGTCAAAGTCTACGATAAGAACCTCTCGAGGGATGAGATAATAATGGACGTCGATTTGTTGTAAGTTTATTACCTATTGTGTTGAAAAGGATTTTGATTAGATTATTATGTCTCAAAATTAATATTAATTGTTTCTTAAATATTGCAGCTATGCCGGCGATTGCGACATTTCCTTTGTGCTACAAGGAATTCGTGCAGGAATCAAAGATCTTCAGGTTTGATAATAATATATTGAGCTAATATAATTATTTTTCTAATTAAATGTAAAGTAAATAAGCTTGTTCAACGTTTCGGCACTTGGTCGCGCGTAGGTGAAATAGATAAAACTATTAATTAAATTAACATCGATGTGTAAATGCATAATAATTATCAAATTATTATTCTGATCTGACCCCAATACGATTTTCTAAGATTCCTTTCTTTCACAATTAATTTAATGTTAAAAAGTAATTTTAGTGTTAAAAAGTAGCTGACTTGCAAAAAACGGAATATGTAGAAGTAGTTTTTATGTACAAAGATAAAATCTTTTATATTTGATCATTGATAAATAACTCCATGCATGCTAACATGGATTAAGGGTCTAATTTTTCGTCTAAATTCGACAAACAGTTGAAGTACTATCAATTTGCACTCGGGTCACTCAACACACTTAACTAGGATAACATAAGGTTCATTTTTGCACAGATCCACGGCATGGTCCGCGTGGTGATGAAGCCGCTTATCACCAAGATCCCTCTCGTGGGCGGACTTCAGGTGTTCTTCCTCAACAACCCGTCCATCGACTTCAACCTGGTCGGAGCCGCCGATGTGCTCGACATGCCTGGGTTCAGGTACACAATTACACATACAATAAATATAATACTGCTTGTGTTAGGAGTTAGGAGTGGGTTCAGTATAACAGTCTAGTGGTCGATTGTTGGTCAAACTCGGCAGTACGATACTGTCTTGGGTGGTAAAAGTATCGTCGCCTTAAAATCTATCATTTCATTCATTACTTCATTATTTGAATCTTATTTATTTGTTTAAAATATACACCCCGCCTAGACAAACTGAAAGAATAATGCATGATGTGTTGATTATTTTCACCCAACTATGCGACGCAAGGGGGTCATTAACTTGTCAGTTTTTTAATTTGATTTGATATCTTGATTGAATGACAGAGTACAGGAGTTGCATCACTTTTAACCCATAATTGGAGTGGAATATAAAAAAAAATCATTGTTTTTGGACTTTAACACAAGGTAATAAAGTTTAAAACAATGTGGTTAACTTTGGTTGAAAGTGAAATCGAAATACACACATTCGCTAACTATCTGTGTTAAATTGGTCAACCGAAATAACATCAAAAAATCTATTTGCAAAGGTGTTCTCCTCTCATAACATTCTCAATCAATACATCGTGATGAAATTAAACAAAGCTTAATATGAAGACTTTATATTTTAGAGTAAAATATATGAGAACATTTTGTCAACGCGACAAGGACGAGAGTGCCCATAGACAATATTAGTAAGAAGTTTCTCTTATGCGTCCATAAATCCAACATCCTCTCCTGGACGCAGATGTTTTAAAATTAAACCCATTGACGCAGCAAAGATTTCATGCTTGGGGCGATGGAGTCCTTTTGTCAAGATGTCGGCGACCATATCTCCAGTGCATCTGTATTGAACCACGACTTCTTTGGCGGTAATCTTGCTTCATCGGTCCACATACGTCACTATGGACTAGCTCTAGCAAGTTCGTTGCACGGGAGCCTTCAGTGGGAAATGGTTTTCTTGTTTGCTTGCCTTCAACACATGTCACACAACTTTTGGCCATCATAACTTGCATTTCTTGATTTTTACAAGTAATTAATCGATATTTCTCATTAATTTTCTCAGCCTTTGCAACTAACTTATTGCATGGATTGTAAATTTGACAGCCATATGTTCATTAAATATTATTCTACATCCACTTTTGATTATTTTACTGACTGATAACAAATTTGTTTTTAATTCTGGTACGTATAGAACGTTCCTCACCTGTATTGCATCGGTGCTGCCATCTTTTGCATTTACTTTGATGCATACATTTCCGCAGCATTCAACTTTTAAAACTTTATCATCAGCAATTCTTATGCACGGTACAGATGAAGGAGTGATATCAGTGAGCCAGTCCCGGTGCCGTGTCATATGCATGGATGCCCCTGAGTCAACATACCACGAATCGGAGTCATTTGTTGTGGAAGCTGAAAAAGCTGCGACATTCTTTGCCTTTTTATGCCAACAATTTTTACTGAGATGTCCGAACTTGTTACAATTAAAGCACCTTGGGCCTTTCTTAANAAATTGTTACAATTAAAGCACCTCGGGCCTTTCTTAATTTTTGATGGATCACTTTTGGGCAGATTTTTTGTGTTTGTATAAAGTGCGGTAGTGTCTGATGTCTTTACTTCCTGTAGTAATTTATTTTTTACTAAATCAGCACTAATCTTTATACCGGAACTCTCTAAGCCCATAATCATTGGCTTATACATTTCTGGCAATCCTGCCAGCATCAACGTGCCCAACCACTCATCATCCACATTGAATTTAATATTCCTTAGTTTGTGCGCCGCTGACATAACTTTGTTTACATAGTCCTCTACAGAAGAACTGTTTTCAAATTTGTATTAATCAGTTCTCGTAATAGGCCAACTTTACGTCTTAGGCCACTGTCTTCAAAAGCCTTTGCTAAATTATCCCACACCTGTTTTGCATTTTGGGCTTCTTGAATATGTACATACAAAATCGGGTCAACTAATAGTATTAGTTTTGACTTGGCTTTGGTGTCTTTTTTCACGGAGCTAGGGTCAGTGGCCACCGGTTCTTTTAAAATGCAGTCATACAAATCTTCAAGTTGTAAGTATGCTCTTACTGCAAAACTCCAAGCAGCCCAATTTTCGCGACCCGTTAGCTTTTCAATTGACATTAAATTACTTCCAGCCATTTTTATGTACGTATTTTCAATGACATTAGCTGAAAAACTAGAAATCACTCGCGAGCCCGGTAAGTAAACAAAATACTTTTCTAAATGCAAAAATAAACATAACGGCAGGCTTGGGACGGCCCATAACCTGATCTGGGCCCATAACCTGATGAAATTAAACAAAGCTTAATATGAAGACTTTATATTTTAGAGTAAAATATATGAGAACATTTTGTCAACGCGACAAGGACGAGAGTGCCCATAGACAATATTAGTAAGAAGTTTCTCTTATGCGTCCATAAATCCAACACATCGACTAAAGCCCGGTGAGCACGTAGAATTTTGTCCAACGACCCCAAGCTACCCATCCTTATCGTGCGACGGGCGCCCGCAGTGAGTGTGCGAGCGCGACAGCAACATAATTACGCGCGAGCGATAAGGATGGGTAGCTAGGGGTCATTGGACAAAATTCTATGTGCTCACAGACCAGACTATAGTCTACTATATTGATAATGTGATCTCTTCTTCCAGTGACATACTGCGTCGTTGCATCGTAGAACAAGTGGCGAGAATGATGGTGCTGCCCAACAAACTGCCTATAAAGCTCAGCGACGAGATACCCACCGTCGACCTGCGCATGCCCGAACCAGAGGTAATTTACCATAGAATGTAAATGATGAACCTTATTCACTTGAAATAAGATTCAATTATTACCAAAAGTATAGACATTCTCGAGACGCTCGATGTAAAATGGTCCTTCGAAATATGAAAACATTTTCTTCTTGCAGGGAGTTCTTCGTATCCACCTCGTGCAAGCTCAGAATCTTATGAAGAAAGATGTGTCCATGTTAGGTAACTATATTTTTTAACCCTATAACTTGTATACACAAATCATTTTCAACTTTACCTAAACTCAATATACTTCAAAATGTGGTGGTAAATAACCAGCCAGCTAAGAACCCCCGCTAAAACTTGGACGCTCGTACGCTAAAACTTGGACGCTCGTACTTATTTTCGATACAGAACCGCGTGCGCTGCTCATACTAATTTTAAATACAGAACTGCGCGCGGGTTTTGGTGGAGGCCCTAAAGCATTTATGTATTCAAACTTCTACACTGGTTAATTGGTGATCATCAATGTCCAGGTAAGGGTAAGTCGGATCCGTACGCCATCATCACGGTGGGCGCGCAGCAATGGAAGACAAAGCACATCGATAACGACGTCAACCCGCGCTGGAACTACTGGTGCGAGGTGAGACTTGTTCCAAGCTGTTCTTCTGTTTTTATTCTTTTTTCTTCTCACTTATTCCGCGATTAACGCGGGAAGAGACGGTTCGTTATATGATAGGGAAAGGGAAGGGTTAAATGTACAGTTGTCAGCACATTGGCAATATGACTTTGGTGAAAAATAACCCTTATTGCAGTTACGTAAGATGTAATTGTTTAGCTTGCTCCTGCTGAATGAGGTCAGTAACTAAATGAAATACAGGTGTCTTGAAAGGATTGCTAATAAAACATTGTTTAAATATGTACCTTCGAATCGCCATTCTGTATAAAATAATTTGGCTACGATTGTTATGTGTCACTACGAACCGCATCTTCCCGTTGGCAACCGCAATACCTATGGGTTTATTAATAACTTTTTATCTCTTTGTAGTATTAACATGAATACTGCAGCTTAGTGAGCACTTTTTATATTTTTTTGGGCAATTACTTTTTATTAATTGGGTTTTGGATGGTGGTGAGTAAAGTTACAAATATTAGGCAGAATGCTCGTTTTTCGGCTCATTTCTGATTTTAAGTCAACTAGGTACCAGGTTTTTGGATTTGATTTCATACTCATGAACCATGCGTTGTATCGAAAATCTCACTAAGACGAGGAACTATACAAAACGATACATACAAAATTTTGATTAAACCAGCAAGCTAAAGATATAAAAACTTTTTGAGGTGTTGTTAAACTGAAATGTTTTCTAATCCAATACCAGTAACAGTGATATTTTGCTTGAAACGTCTAATAATATTACTTTTGGGTGCCTAAAGCAATAACAGATTACATAATAAATTCTTTCGTTTGCTAGTTCAATCTACTCGACACATCAGGAATGAGCATGGGCAAAGTTATGAGACGTAGTTTTATTTTTATATGTTTTTTCACTATCTTGAACGACTTAATACACACATCATGAGTCATGATTATTCTCACTTCAAATTGTGCTAATCTATGGTCTTATTGGGTCGGTCACCATTTTTCTTTCTTAGCTCTTTACAAAATACAAAGCTTTAAGTTTCAAATTATTTGTAAATGGTTACTTCGTATTTGATGTTTTCCTTAAATTAAATGATTTGAAATATTTGTGTAGATGAAATATTAATAATACCTAAATCTACTTTATTTTCTCAAAATTTGAAGGAATTGGAAAAATACCTGTTCAAAATTTGTAACGAAAACGTAACAAAATCAAAAGATTTTATGTTTGTAATTAACATTTTTTTTCCTTTCGGCTTTTCGATTAACTGTGCTTTATTTGGCCAATTTCTGCAAATGTTAGACGAAACAACCTTTAATAAGTAAGTGCATACTGCATAGTAGTTGTCATTATGATTTTGTTTTCCCTAATGTATGTTTGCGTCGGACAATGCGCGTTCGGCGTAAAGGCGCGCGTAATGCAATCGATGGGCCAAGCGTTGGACATTGAAGTGTTGGACAAGGATGAAGGCACCAACGACGACAAACTGGGCAGGTGAGTCGCGCCGCGGGGGAGGGAGGGGTGGGGTGACGTCATACGCGGTGCTGGTGGCGGGTAGACAAGCTTTTCGCATGCTAGTTGCACTGCTTGGGGTTTTCGGGACAGTATTGAAAGGACTTCGACTACTTGTAGAAACGATAAAATCAATGGTTAAATAAATGTATTAGTAGTAGAGTAGTGTACTTTGATAAAATGAAGCCCATATTTTTTGTGGCTTGCTTTTTTCCATAGGTACTGTCCTGAAACCTATTCCAGATAAAGCAATATGCGATGTTATCACGGAATACGCTTTTTTATTCATAAGATCCGATATCCTGACATAATTTCGCAAGTAGAGTTTAAAATGAGACGCATAATTACATACGCGTATAAAGTTTAATATTCTTGTTGATAACCACGATGCCTCTCATTTTTACTTCAACAAGGCTTTTAGAATTTGTAGTAGATTTGCACATGGGAATGGTAGATGTAGACGTAGATTCATGTTATATTGGTGAAGGTAAGTAATTATACTTAATTAAATAACCATGTTAACAATCATAGAACAAATAGATTAATCCAAACTGTACAATAATTCGGATTAAGAATGGTACTTATGTAAAAAAGTAAAGATTTTAAAATGACAACATCGTAGCATGCTCGCTTGGTCTCGCATGCGAGTATGTGCGCCCGTATCGCATACATACTTACATTGTTGTCGTACATCATACCATCCACGTGGTAAACGAGCAGTTCATATTCAAGATTCAAAATTCCAAATCCAAAAACTGTTTATTTAGCTGTTCTAATGTCTCGATGATGTTTGTCCCAAGGCGATAATAAGCTCAAGGAAGAGCCAAGTGCTGCAGTGCGAGCTGTGGGACTGGGACCCGGGGATGGGCATTCAGAACGATGACTTTCTCGGCAGGTCCGTGTCCTCGCTACGTGCCACGTCATACTGGCCGCATATCATTGCCGTGTTTTGTTTTTATTGTCGTATTTCTGATGTTTTTTATTGTCACATTGCTTGCGCATCCATTCCAATAGCGGACATTGAATTTTATATTTGGGATGGTTGCGCTTAGTAATCAAGCTAAACACAATCAAATTCAATAAAATTTATGTTTTTAATGAATGATGTGACAATAAAAAACATTATGAGTAAATTATAATCTAATATTTGTGGGATTTTTCTTTTTTATACTGCTAATTGTTTGTGTATTTTTTATTTATGTTTACAATACACACATGAACGAGCCACGAGGTAGGATATTTGGGGTCATTGACGCAGATTTTTAAATTAAAAAACTAACAATTTGACACAATTATGTATTTATATTCTAACAGCCAAACAACGCAGCTTGTGTGAATTCACCTTTAATTTCCCTTAGGTTTAAATTAAACGCTGTTAAATGCTGAGCTTTATATGTGTTTATAATGTGGTGGGTTGTGACAGTCAATAGTGCAGTGCAGTGCGTCGACCGCAGTGGTGAAGCTTTTCGACTGGGACCGCGCGGGGAGAGACGAAAATCTTGGCAGGTCGGTTGGAGCCACCAAGCGGCTACCACATTTTTATACGTCACGGCGTCGCTAGGCTTGCATATTTGTGTAGAACATTGTGCCCGTCTCGTCAATTCATATCCGTCGCCGGTCCCTTCTATGTAAATAACTCCTTGTCCAACTAACCAAACGCCAAATACTGCATATTCATGCCTCAATATCCAGAAAAGTAGAAAGATATTTTATTGATATTTGCTAGCGACGCCAATTTAAAGTAATATTAAGCGAAACATGCATCGGATTGTAGAAATCATCACTGCACAGTGCTTGAAATTGACTGTCACTGAAAATGGGCAGAACACCGTCTTCGAACAATACACTCATATTGTCATACTACACACTGATCCTGAAAGAAATGTGCAATCAATGTAATATAATCTTATTGTAAATATATTTAATTCTTCGAAAATACAAATGTGCATTGGCTTACTGGATCAACTACATTTAACAATCATAGAGCTTAGCTTTCTGTAAATCTTGTAAAATACCTGCACCACATAACACGATAACAAACACATTTATCTACATTGCTTTCTAACTAAAATACTAAAAAATGTGTACAAAACAACGCTATCGACAAGTGTGTTGATGTAAACACTGACCTAACACTTTTTCTTTTCCTTTTTTGATTTGTCACACGTTTTGCTTTAACACTTGATTTCTGAACCTAATTTAATTTTTACATATTTTTCTTAGAAATACCTAACTAAAAATAATAACATGTGATTAATTCCTTGTGGTTATATTACCTTTTACCTACTTGTCTCTAACTTTTACATATTGATTTCAGATGCTCCTTGGATATATCTCAAGTTGTGCGTGCAGGTCGCTTAGACACAGTAAGTTTTATTTATCTGTTTTTCTTCACATATTAAAGTCGCACAAACTTTTGATTTCAAGTGCGTATGATACTCGTATTTTAAAATTTAAAACAAACTACGCCCTAATTAGTATGACTTGAGTTGGACTTGGATGCAATTTTAGATGAGTGATTGTATGTTTATTAAAATAATGCTAATGCTCATTATTTTCCATCAGTGGCAGACTCTGCAACAAGCAAAGCACGGCAAAATCCACTTGCGTCTATCGTGGCATCGCCTTTCCACCGACCTGCTTGACTTGAGCCACGTAAGTATAACGTGCTCATGTTCTACTATAAACTAAGTGAAATTGTAAGCGTTTAGTATTACGAAGAATTAAAATTATTGTTCTGTTTTCAGGCTATAACGGAGACACAATTGATCAAAACGGGAGATCTTAGTTCTGCTGTTGTCTCGGTGTATATCGACTGCTGCAGGCATCTGCCCGTAAGTATTTCAACTTTAAGCATTAACAAACATAATAATGTAATGTAAATTATTTTTATTCTGGCAAAGATATGACCCAGTAACTGATACTAATCCTATTATCTTCCCATGATTATTGATGGTATCCTCAAGCTTGTTGCAATTTATTTCTCTTAATAGATCAATTATCTCCTACCTAACAATACTAGCAATCGCGCATCTGTAATTAATCTATATTTGATGTTTCTAGAACGCTCGCGTGCACTCGCGTCCAGACCCGTACCTGACGGTAACCGTTGGCAAGAAGACAGAGAATACCGCGGTACAGATGCGCACCGACAGCCCCGTCTACGAGATAGGATACTCCTTCCTCGTGCAGAACCCGGAGATCGACATCGTGGACATCAAGGTACAAGCACCACTTTGTTAAGGAACGAGTTGTCGTATAATTTTGTCACTTTCTAACAAATGACGATGAAAAGAGACAAAACAGGATGTTAGTCATAACACTGCTGTTTATATTTTCATTAGTTTTTACCCGATTGCGCCAGAAGGAGGGTTATTTTGTTGGTTGTTGGTTAGTAAATAAGTTATTAGTTGATCCAGCTTCCAATATTGAACCTCAATGCCTCACCTGGTGATACCGCAATTTAACATTACTATGGAACATTTTGCAAAGCCTTTGAAAGTCAGCAGTGCTTAGGTATCTAATGCTCCAAATCATAGAACCTTTTAAGGGCAGTTAACCACTTATCAACCAATTTTCTTTTTTCAGGCCGTAGATCAAAAGACAGGAAGCTCACTCGGTCAGCTGACGTTCCCTCTATCAGCTTTGTTGAAGGAAAAGAATCTAACCTTGTTGCCTCAACCGCTGAACTTGCAGAAGTCGGGACCTGAATCCAAAATCATCCTGTCTATGCAGTTGAAGGTATGTTGAAGAATGGTGGGGCGCGTCATCGTGGATGAAACGATCTATAGTATTGTACGATTATTAAGTCTTACGTCAATGAGGGCTATCGTTTTAGCGCTCAGTTAGCGCCACTGTAGAGTAAGGTCCTGTCACTTGCTAGTAGCGAAGACAGTGGCACCAACTGGTGAGCGCGAAAGTGGTAGGAGGACTATCGCATTTGCACTCATCAAGATGGCGCCACTGTAGAGTAAGGTCCTGTCAATCGCCAGGGGTGCCAACTGTTAAGTATAAAAACGATAGCCCTCATTGACTCTTATTATTTATTCGCCGATTTTCCAGAAATCCAAAGTAAAAAAAAACTGGTATATTAGGAAAAAGATGTTGAGAACCAAATTAAAATATTATAATCGCATTATATTGACTTTACCGAGCCAGATTTCACAAATACGCTACTTGCACGATTAACAGAAGCGTATTCGTCTAGCTATGTTGGCGGGACGTATTCAATATTTCAGTTTGCTCGGGCCGGCTTTTACCCGTGGTCCCCCCAACATGTCCCCCTGGTGGGTCCACGGGTAATTTTTTTTACCCGTTGTCCCACCGTTCTGAACAGTGTTTGAGTGGGTCTACGGGTAATTTATTTTAACCATGGTCCCACCGCACTAAGTGGCAAACATTGCATTACACCTAGGTATCTATAATATTATAAAAAATCTATAATTAATTATAGAAAATAATGAAAGGTAATTAAGTTAGTAGTAATTAAGTCTTATAAATCTATGGTGCCGTACCTACCTATAATTATTTTCTATAATTAATTATAGATTTGTTTATAATATTATAGATACCTAGGTGACATGCAATGTTTGCCACTTAGTGCGGTGGGACCATGGTTAAAATAAATTACCCGTGGACCCACTGGCAAACACTGTTCAGAACGGTGGGACAACGGGTAAAAAAAATTACCCGTGGACCCACCAGGGGGACATGTTGGGGGGACCACGGGTAAAAGCCGGCTCGGGCACAACTAGCTCAATAGTTCCCAATGGATATCTCTTTGTAAGAAGTAGTATATCTTGTTCTTTGTCAAAGTTTTCTATCTTCCATCGTAGATATTGAAAGAAGCGATAAAAGAGGAAGACATGGATGAGGCTGAGGCGGCGGACCTCGGGCCCGAGCCCGCCACCATGCCCTCACCTCCAGCCACTCCTTCAGACACCATGGACGGCGCTACGCCCCTCCCGACGCCACCAGCTAACCCAGGTAATAAACACTGACATGCAAAATAATGCCACCACACTTTCCCACTACAGCAACTCCAGTATATAGTTATTTAATTTTTAGCGTTAAGAGTCGCATCTCAAACTAATTTGAAAATTATAAATAACTTGAAAAAATCGAACTGCCTAAGGCGGGAATTGAACCCACGACCTTCCGCTTGCCGGGCGACTGCTCTTCCAACTGAGCTACTTAGACACTGGATGAACCTGTCGAAATTTTCAAGTGTAATACGCTGTTACAGCCAGCGTTTGTTTCATCAATGTTGAGTATACCTACCCTACATCTAACAGAAATATTGTTGCAAGTTATTTATAATTTTCAAACCCAACCAGTGAAAGTTGAGTATTCCCGGGGGATAGATAACTGTCTTGGAACCCGCAACGAATTTAATCGGAATACTATAGGAGGAGTTAATATCATCATCATCATTTCAGCCATAGGACGTCCACTGCTGAACACAGGCCTCCCCCAATGATTTCCACAATGGCCGGTTGGTGGCGGCGTGCATCCAGCGCCTTCCCGCTACCTTTATGAGATCGTCGGTCCACCTTGTGGGTGGACGTCCCACGCTGCGTTGCAGGTAACAATAGACACTGGCAAAAGTAAGTTTTAGGCCTAATTTACACCAAGGCGGAGCAGAGCAGTGATGTGTTTTTCCACTTCCGCTCCACTTCGGTGGAAAGGGATCGAGCGGAGAAGAGACTTGAAGTGTCGGGCGGACTATTTTTTTATAGCAGTGCTTTTAATTTTCAACCTAGTATAAAAAAATATTTTGCGTTTCATAGTCAGCAATAGACTGACAGCTGACTACGCACATCTCACACATCTTCCCACGTCTTGTCCCCTCTCTGCTCCGCTTTGGTGAAATTTTGGGGTAGGGCTAGGGTAATAGAGATGAATTTGAAAAATAACGATCCGTTTTTATTGCAGTGCCAGAACAAACAGATGTCGAGTTGAAAAACATGGACGATAATACCACTGATTCGTCTTCTCAGAAGTCGATCCCGGTCGAGCAAATTTTAAAGTCAGTTGGTAAGTAACACAACAACACAATATTAGTAATTTTGCTAATAAGTAACTAGTGTAACAACTGTAGCAATACTATTAATTATTTCAGAAGTCTAAAGAAATATCTGTTTACCTTTATAAAAGTGTTTTGTTGCATAATCCCGTAACAGTGATCATTTATATTTCAAAGTGTCTCAAGAAGAGCAAGCGCCTTCATCGGGGAGAGACTCACCTAAATTAGTACACAGGACATCATCTATAACTACGTAAGTCCTCTTCTAAAGTACAGACGTTGAATTGGAACACCAAGCTAAACATTACATCTTATGATTAGCTCTTGCAACTCACAAAGGCGAGTGAGCTTTACTTGTGTGTGTACGTGTAGTGCGTGTACATGCACATAACGATGTGTAATGTCTGTCAAAACTTTTGAAAAACGAACAGTAGAGCTACCACACATGTAAAGTTTTTCATTAATTAAGCTCACTCGCCTTCGTGATGAGGGTTTTCGCGTATGAAAGATCCGCTAGATGGCGGGACGTGGATGTGGGGTCTGACTGCTGCGTGATTTGACATATCTGTCAATGTCATGTCAAAAATAACCAATCATGCAGCATTTGGAAACTCGCGTCTACGTATTGCCATCTGGCGGATTTTTCATACGCGAAAACCCTCATTGCAACAACTATAGTTGTAATAGGGGCGAGTTTAGAACAACATTTATATTTATTATCCACTATTCTAGGTCTGCCGGCGAAGCGGGTCTGGGGCGTATTTTGCTGTCGCTGCGATACAGCATGCAGAACCAGACTTTGTTTGTTGTCGTGCATAAAATAGCGTGAGTATACGTTGATATCAATATGTAATATGTTAATGTATTTTACTAGGTCTACCGATTTTATTAATCTTGATTTTTTTTTTGCCACAGAAATATTCCCCTGAAAGACCCCACCAATGTGCCTGATCCCTACGTCAAATTGTACTTACTGCCAGGACGATCTAAGGACTCCAAGCGAAAAACTATTGTAAGTGTAAAAAATTTGCTTATTGCAGATAATGGTGAGTACAGTCTAGGGCATTTCTATGTATGTAACGTTCTGTTACAATACAGGTGAAATGTATGACGTGACAGGGTGATACACATGACATTTCATAGAGGGGATCGATGTTCTGTTACAAACTTGCAAGTGAAAGCTTAAAGTCTATACTCACCTAAAAATTTTCAGAACACGAAATAGATTTATTTTTTTCTCTTTATTTGATAAATCTTCTATCTTTGTTTATAAAAGTAACTGGTTCTCTATTTCTATACATATAGGTATCAAGATAAAAACCTTCTATGGTCATAATTTGTTTCCATATTTATTTTGTATGCCAGTAAAAAACTGTTTGCTTCTTACAAGCATGATCTTCAACGATGGGGAACAAAAACATTTCATTTGAACCATTAACCGTACCTGACATAACAGCTAGAATGCCATGGTTTACGAATCCTTGACAGGTGGTGAAAGACAGCTGCATGCCGGAGTACGACGAGCAGTTCGAGTGGGTGATCCCGCTGGCCGAGCTGCACTCGCGCCAGGTGGAGGTCACGGTGGCCACGCACAAGGGCTTCCTCGGCGGCAGCCCCATCATTGGACAGGTAAACAATCATTCATAATAGCAGAGTGAATACAAATGAGTAGGTCATCTTCATAGAAACGCACCGAGCGCGGTTTGTATGTGAGCGCGCCAATACGTATGCGACAAAATTTAGCGTGGATTAGCGGGGAGTTGCGCCGAATTTTGTCAGTGTGTGCGTGCGCGCCGCATACGTATTGGCGCGCTCACATAAAACCGCGCTCGGTGCGTTTCTATGAAGATGACCTACTCATTTGTATTTACTCTGATAATAGCCAGGGGCGTAGCTACCGAACTAACTAAAATACTTAACTAAGCTGGCGCAACGACCAAAAGTGAGACTTGGCCTCTATCAATAATACAGGCTCCCCGGACTACAGGAGCCCGCCCCTTGGCCGGATTAACCATTACACAGAGTAAAATTTTAAAAGTTCTATAATTTTGCGATGACCTTTTTTAGTAGATAAAGTCCACCTATAGTTTATGGCCAATTTTTTTAGATGAAAGGTGGGGTAACAAATTTTGATTTAGGCCCGTCTAAACCACGCCATGCCACTAGTAGTAGTATAGCATAAAAATGTGTGAAGAATTTGATTATATTTATAATAATACACCATTTATTTAATTGATTATATTTTTACAGGTGATAGTGCATCTCAACCAGTACGATTTTCGCGAAGCAAAAACTTTATGGTATGATCTTATGCCAGAAGCAACGCCTAAAGATTAGGCAATGATTGTTTTCTTAAGAATTGTGCTTATGAATGTTATTTTTTGTATTTTATAGAAGTTACTAACATTTGCATTTACGCACTGTTATCATGATCTGACTATGTTACATATACAAAAAGTGAATCTTGTTACCTAATTAATTATGTACTGTGCAAAAGTGGAAACTAGTTGTGTTCTCGTTACATTTTACGCATTTATTCTTGTTAAAGTATGTAAAAATGATCTTGGCATGTCGCTTGTTTATGTATTTTATTTTAGCTAACAAACAGTATTTCAAATGAATACAACATGTAATTGGAGTAAAGCAAAAGCTATAAGAATATTTGAATAGGCCGGCAGATTTGGTTCAGAATCACAACTCGACTTTTTTAAAAAAGGGTGTGGCCAACATGTTACGGTAATTCAATTACATTTTGTATGAAAAAGTGCACTTTCAAAACATAATTATATTGGATTTTACATAAATGAAGCATGATAACATGCAATAACTAACATCAGCAAGAAAGTGTTCTATATTTTTCTGCAAATCGGTTCTTTGTGCATAATAATGATTGTTTGTATTTATCAATAAAAATATTAAGTCAAAAGCGCAATTAATGTGTAAGTATAACTTATGAGATTTTTGTTATTTTTTATATTGTGTATGTTTATTGTTACCTGGAATGTATTTACTGTTACTGCAAAGAGATTATTGTCCATATTAGAGCAATGCTTATAAGCTTATTATATGAATTATAAAAGAGTTAATAAATAGTATGAAATCAACCATATTTTCTTATTTACATAAAACCATATTATGTGATAACAATTAAAGTTGTAAATGTCATATATTTAGTTCTCTGGTTGCTGTATTTAGTGATGAAAATTACCAAGAAGGGCAAGTTAACCCAAAACTTAAAACGAATGGAAAAACAATTTAGCTAAATGATTAGTGTTGTCAGTTATACAAAATAAAGGAGTAACACTAAATGTAAGTGTAATAAAATAAAATAAATGATGGTTTATAAAATTTTATTAATAATAGTGACGACACCACTTTAATGTAATGTGATCTTACTATACAGTCTTTTATGAGTTGTATTACTTCATAATTATTCGAACACTTATTTTGCTTTATTATCTCACAAACACACAAAAAAATTAATCAGCGTTCTAAAGTATTGGGCGTTATTTTCTGAGCAATAATTTTGCCGTAGCCACCCCGACCACCATCATAATCAGTTCTATATTCGTCTCGAACCTGAAAAGATTATTTTTAGAAGTAAATTATTTTATATTGTAATACACTTAGAGAAAAAAACCCTAAATTTTTTCAATCCTACTTAGAAATTATCTAAAATAAAAAGCTTTTATTTCCACAAGCATTTTGGTTACAACAAATTAAGTTAATTAGAAATATTTGTTAATTCTTGTGGTACCCTGTATGGGCAAAAGCCTAGAGCTAATGGTTAACCAAGTAAAAATGTAGTGTTAAGTATCTGCTTCCACAGCCACAGATTTAAACTATACTTAATGTTTAGTTTGCAGTAACAACAAAGTATTTTTATAAATAATTACCTGACCACCAGTCTTCCCCCGTCCATATTGTCTACCTTCAATAAAACCTGCATCCCAGTCACAACGGATAATTCTATCATCTAATCTTGTACCATTTATGTATCTACAACAAAGCAAGTATTAGTGAAAAAGAGACGTTGTGTAAAGGTCCAATTTCACAACTGATCTGAATACATATAAAATTTTATTTCATTAGATGGATTAAGCAATTATAACATCCTATTGACAAGCTTAAGATGACTAAAAATTCTAGCAGACTAATTGGAATTTTACAAAATTCAAAAGTTTTAGATACATACCTCATACAATGTTCAGAGTCTAATCTTGTATAGTATTCAACAAAACAGAATCCACATGGCGTTTTTTTGTACTTGTCTAGACCCATGATCACTCTTCGTATATCTCCGCATTTTGAAAAGAGTTCATAGATTTGTTCTTCGGTGGTGTAAAAAGAAAGGTTACCAATGTAAAGTGTTGATGTTGTTCGTAGCAATCGTTCTTGTTCACTTCTTGAGCCCTAAAATAACAAAATATATATGAAGCAATGTTGAATTTCGAATTAATTAGACGTATTTCACTTTTCGTTGTTTACCTTAAAATGTTGGTCACGATAGGAGCTAATATCAACCGAAGAGTTCATGGAATCATAACTCCTCTTCATTGTTCAAGTTGCAAATATATAAAGCTGAGACTCTAAAAAAATTAAATAATGCTAATAATTCTCGAGAATAACGCCTAAAACGATCTACGTTTACAACAAAAATTGGGTCAACGCGACAGCAAACGCGACAGTGAAAAACAATGACAGTACTTTTTTTTTAATTTTTATGTCAATTTTCAACATAATCACGGCATTGGATTATGCTTTTATGGTAAAGTCGTAGTCTGGATCATATCGTATCGTATCGTACGTACGTACTCAATACGATTGAGTTTTCACAGAAATGATTTTCCCGTAATCCCGACCATTTCTGTTCAGAGCCCCGATTACGGTAATTTTTAACGTCAACAATCCAGACACGCTTCTCGATTCTGCGATACGATTGGTCGTTCAACAGCGCACGTCAGCTGTTTTGACCAATCGTATTGCAGAATCAGAAACGCATCAGAAACGCGTCTGGATTGTAGACGTTAAAAGTTACCGTAATCGGGGCTCTGGGTGTGACGATAGTAGCCGACGCTGCATGCAGCACAAAATTTCAGAAAAAATACTTGAAAATGGCACAAATCAAGTCGACCTCGACGTGTATTGCCAACATCATCAAAAAAGAAGAAGAAGAAATAAAGTACGGCTAGCACGAAAAACTTTCGAGTTCGAATCGTTTGCGTATTCGAATCGCCTTCAAAAGATTTAATAAGAAAACTACAACAACGCCAGTGAACTTAGTATGAGAAATGGTTGCATGAAACTTATTTTGAGAATTAAAATTGACATGTTATCGTTTAATTCAAAGATTGAGTATCGAATTTTGTCGAGTAGGCAAACGATTCGAACTTGAAAGTTTTTCGTGCTAACCCTACAGGATGTAATTTTTTACAGATTTTAGTTGATTCCATTCCCGAGTGTGGTCAACGAATTTTCGATTTTATTACAAAATTCTACCCTATTACCCTAAAAGGCTCGGAAATATCTGTCGGAGGAAAAAACTTAAACTTTTTCACTCATATATTTTTTCAGCCCTTCCAGAAGTTTCAGTATACCTACCTCTCATAAGAAAATAAGTATGTTAATTAAAACACGCATTATTAATATTATTATTTATTTATGTACAATTTAATACTTAATAAGGTAATTATTTTAACCTATTAATAATATCTTGATAGTTATCTACATTTTAACACTCGTCAATATCATTAATAATACCATCTAAAAAGGTATAGGTACAATAAGATGCTGTCGAATCTAGTTTTGATAAATAAAGGAATGACTTTACGCATTTAACAATCACATGACCAACAACCGCAACTAATAATGCACGTTTTAGATCTACGATTATAGTGCACGAGTTGTAGGACTAGGGCAAAATTTATAAAAGTATTGAGCGATTTTGGCTGTAGCGCCGTTAATGTTCAGTATAATCGTAGTTCTAAGAATAACTTGGAAGCACTAAATATGGCTCGCTTGTTCAGAGATATTGGCAGGTCCGTTTGTTAACAGGTTTCTTGCGCAGGGCGGCGCGCACAGCCTCTTCAAACACCTCATTCATGTTGACGCGTTCCAGGGCAGAACATTCCACCAACTGCGCAGCTCTGAAATAATATAATAGTTTTATTAAAACATCTTAAAAAGTCAGGTGTTAGGCTTACACCCTAATTAATTAATTAATACCAATTGTCTGCGAAGGTACTAAGTAGGTACGTACTACGTATGATTTGGGAATTACGAAGCTACCTCCTTGTCTGCTCTACACAAGCGACAACCGCAGTGCACACAGGACTTTTGTAGAAAAATGTACCACTTTATTCTTTAAATTATAGTGCGCCCAGGAATCGAACCTGTCATTCACTATTAACAACTTATTATATTCTGTGCTATTAAGGCTATTCACCGACTTTTATTACTTACATAAGTAAATAGAAAATGCACTTTGTCTTATGACTTGCCCTGTATTGAAAAAAGCTATCAGATGGCGATAGAATTTATAATTCAACCTCAGCAATCTCAATTTGTTAATCTTTATCACTGTGGCACGAGCTCAATGATAATTTTAGCTTCTATTTACATATTACTTTATTAGGGACCACCAATTAATAACATCATTAGTATATTATTACAATTCGCGCCTCTGTCGTCATTACGGTTGTCGCGCTGTTATCAGCGCGCGATAAGGCGCGATAGCAGCTGCCGGCACCCGCCTGATAACCCGCGTCAATTTCACTTAAAATTTGTTGTTTTCAGAATACAATAAAATACAAACTTATCTCTGCGATTAAAGGATGCCAATATTTATTGTTGCTGGTGATATGAACTAGCTCCTATCCTCCTATCAACACGTTTTGAAAATTTAATAAACTATGTAAATTTTTAGGGCTTATTGTATATTTACAAACTAGGCGTTTTTGACTCAATTATTTAGAATTAGAGATAATATTTTTGGCTGCAGCTCAGCTTTATGTCCTACATATTTTTTCCTGTTAACTAGCACCTACTCAAATCTATCTAGTTTTTGTTGGAGAAAGCAATTAGCTACTATGCTGAGGCGTTTTATGGCCGAAAGGCTGTGTGGATTTCTAGAGCAGGGTTTCTCAAACTTTCGGCTCCAAAGTTTCCAGTTTAAGTGTCAGCCCCCACCTCCCCTTGGGTCTCTGCCCGTTTCTTGTCGCAAATGGAGTCAATTTAATTACGAATAATTTTGGACAATATTTCAACCTTCATTCTACCACCTTTACGTAAATGTTGTCGCGGACCCCCTGGTGTCGAATGGCAAACCCCTAGGGGTTCGCGTTTTGAGAAACCCTGTTCTAGAGAGTTAATTTTATCTGCCTGCTTTTAGATAAATTGTGTATGGGACTCAATTTAAAGACGTAAAAAGGCATTTTTTTCAAGACTTACCGAATTTTCTTTTTTAACTTTTTTCCTTCCTGTGTCGTGATGACCGCTTTGCCGGACGCTCGCAAGTCTGTTTTCGTAGCTGAAACGTCATTAATATGATTTGTGAATCAATAAGAACAATGCTTATTAAAATATTGACCTTTATGCCGAATTAAGAACACAATACGAGTTCCTAAGTCAAAACAATAGCAGCTTGTATTTCGGATGCAAATAAGGCTCTACTGTCGATGTTTAAAACTTTTGATAATATTTTGTTATTAGTTAGCTAAATAGATAGCTAAAAAAACCTGTTGAACATTAATTTTAATATGTATTATTGAAGTTGTCCAACTAGGAAAAATTAATAAAATTAGAAATGAACCTAATAATGCTGAATTGATAGTTGATGACCACAACAAATGTGGATGACTTAATTCATCACAAGGAAAATTAATGCAATTTATGTGTTAAGTATCAGGAAAGACCGGTCCAACTCACAATACGTATTTAACATTTGTTTTAGCATTAATATTTTTTTATTTGTTTGCAAATAAGTATGAACGTGTAACGTAAGTCACACTACGTATTTTTAGGAAAATGAGATTTGATCGGAAGTTAAAACAATGTCACGCCCGTATTCACAAATGATAGCAAATCGAACGCACAGCGTTGAATAGAGCTCTGTGATTGGTTCCTGTGTCACCCACACTGAGTCCACTCGCACTGTGAGACCTCATAGTAATGTTTGTGAATACAGGCGTCCGCGTCAGATTGTCAGAGTCTGATGTTAAAGATTGACCTAAGTAATAATTTAATTTTGATCCCGAATCATTAAAAAATTAATTGGGCGCATCCTACTTAACTTTATTCGCGCTATAATTCGCAATTTCGCAAATTATCTAGCATCCCGTTTTGCACAATGAACAATTGGTTTGGTCAAGTTTACTACAAGTGAAATGAAACTCCCAACTGAGGTGAAGTCCCGTTCGTAACGTAGCATCGTAAATTGAACTTGATGTTTGACAGTAGGTAATTTATTAGGTAATACACGAGAGACATGCAATCGCCTAGTGTTAGGTAGGTAAGTAATTGGTAATGGCGCTTCGAGATAAATATCATAGATACTTACCAACTAATACAATGGGCACTGAACTGCTAAAGTGGTTCAGCTCTGGGTACCACTTGTGTATGACATTCTCGAATGATGACCGGCTGCCCACGGAGTAGCATACCAGGAAGCAGCCAGTCTGCAATATAGGACATTATTTGTAGTTACACACTTAATAAAATTGGCCACAATTGTAAAATGTAGAAGTGAACGTAGTAAATAGGTAAAGTAACCACGCCATCAAGTAAATATTTAAATACCAAACGTTTATCCTAATGCATTACATTTTTTTCCCCTTAATGTTTTTTCCGTTATTGTAACTGGATTGATTTAAATGACTGTTGATTACTAAATAGATACCATACATATTTTTTTATTAACTTAGGTACTGTTAAAAGTTAAAGGGGTTTAAATTTATAGAGGAATAGCAATATTAGTATTGCACTTAGGTACCTATACGTTAGAATTTCTTTCTATTGGTGTATTTAGATAAATAAATAAAATCGCACCTGGTTGTAAGATAGTGGCCTCAGTCGCTCGTAGTCCTCTTGACCCGCGGTGTCCCACAGCGTCATTTCGATCTCTTCCCCGTCCACGGTGATGAGGCCGACATAATTGTCGAATCTGATGACATTTTAAAGAAAATTATAGCTATAAGTATAGGAATTAGGTACAATAAATAACTTGTAGTAGAAATTCCCTTGGCGCTAAGACCGCCTAATAACATTAGGATCGAAGATAGAATTCTAAGGAAGACGAAAAGTAGGTACTTATTCATCGCAGGCTTAGTCGCAGAACATGCAAAACGGAAAAGACATTTAATAATTTATGTTTTTTTTTATTTAAACGGCAGTAAGTTAAGTAGTGTAGGAGTTCTCAAAAAATTTCCTATCGAATTTTTTTAACCCCTCGTGGAAAAAATCTTGCTGCAGTGTGTTCACCATAGTCCAGCGGCAGGCGGGATTCGAATCCGTGTTCCTCGAATCTTGATAGCATTGGGCTATTGACGAATCTTTTTATGTTCTAGTCTAGTAGGTAAACCTTTTTCTTTGTAGGTTTTTGTAAACTTAATATTTGGATGCGATATTTTTGCATATTTTTAGTCCGAATAAATTAATACAATCCCGAGTTTCGAGTTGTTTAAATCGCGTTTAT